GCTCTTCCTCTGCTGCTCCTCTTCCTCTCCTCTTCCTCTGCTGCTCCTCTTCCTCCTCTTCCTCTGCTCTTCCTCTCCTCTTCCTCTGCTGCTCCTCTTCCTTTCCTCTTCCTCTGCTCTTCCTCTCCTCTTCCTCTGCTCTTCCTCTTCCTCACCTGCTCCTCTTCCTCTGCTCTTCCTCTCCTCTTCCTCTCCTGCTCCTCTTCCTCACCTGCCTCTTCCTCTGCTCTTCCTCTCCTCTTCCTCTCCTGCTCCTCTTCCTCACCTGCTCCTCTTCCTCTGCTCTTCCTCTCCTCTTCCTCTGCTGCTCCTCTTCCTCTCCTGCTCCTCTTCCTCACCTGCTCCTCTTCCTCTCCTCTTCCTCTGCTGCTCCTCTTCCTCTGCTCTTCCTCTCCTCTTCCTCTGCTGCTCCTCTTCCTCTCCTCTTCCTCTCCTGCTCCTCTCCTCTTCCTCTGCTCTTCCTCTCCTCTTCCTCTGCTGCTCCTCTTCCTCTGCTCTTCCTCTCCTCTCTCTCCTTTCCTCTGCTCTTCCTCTCCTCTTCCTCTCCTGCTCCTCTTCCTCACCTGCTCCTCTTCCTCTGCTCTTCCTCTCCTCTTCCTCTGCTGCTCCTCTTCCTCTCCTCTTCCTCTCCTTTCCTCTGCTCTTCCTCTCCTCTTCCTCTCCTGCTCCTCTTCCTCACCTGCTCCTCTTCCTCTCCTCTTCCTCTGCTGCTCCTCTTCCTCTCCTCTTCCTCTCCTGCTCCTCTCCTCTTCCTCTGCTCTTCCTCTCCTCTTCCTCCTGCTCCTCTTCCTCTGCTGCTCCTCTTCTCTTCCTCTCCTCTTCTCCTGCTCCTCTCCTCTTCCTCTGCTCTTCCTCTGCTGCTCCTCTTCCTCTCCTCTTCCTCTGCTGCTCCTCTTCCTCTCCTCTTCCTCTGCTGCTCCTCTTCCTCTCCTCTTCCCTGCTCTTCCTCTGCTGCTCCTCTTCCTCTCCTCTTCCTCTGCTCTTCCTCTGCTGCTCCTCTTCCTCTCCTCTTCCTCTGCTCTTCCTCTGCTGCTCCTCTTCCTCTCCTCTTCCTCTGCTGCTCCTCTTCCTCTGCTCTTCCTCTGCTGCTCCTCTTCCTCTCCTTCCTCTGCTCTTCCTCTGCTGCTCCTCTTCCTCTCCTCTTCCTCTGCTGCTCCTCTTCCTCTCCTCTTCCTCTGCTCTTCCTCTGCTGCTCCTCTTCCTCTCCTCTTCCTCTGCTGCTCCTCTTCCTCTGCTGCTCCTCTTCCTCTCCTCTTCCTCTGCTCTTCCTCTGCTCTTCCTCTGCTGCTCCTCTTCCTCTCCTCTTCCTCTGCTGCTCCTCTTCCCTCCTTTTCCTCTCCTTTCCTCTGCTCTTCCTCTCCTCTTCCTCTCCTGCTCCTCTTCCTCTGCTCTTCCTCTCCTCTTCCTCTGCTGCTCCTCTTCCTCTGCTGCTCCTCTTCTCTTCCTCTGCTCTTCCTCTCCTCTTCCTCTGCTGCTCCTCTTCCTCTGCTGCTCCTCTTCCTCTCCTCTTCCTCTGCTCTTCCTCTGCTCTTCCTCTGCTGCTCCTCTTCCTCTCCTCTTCCTCTGCTGCTCCTCTTCCTCTCCTCTTCCTCTGCTCTTCCTTCCTCTTCCTCTCCTGCTCCTCTTCCTCTGCTCTTCCTCTCCTCTTCTTCTCCTGCTCCTCTCCTCTTCCTCTGCTCTCCTCTCCTCTTCCTCTCCTGCTCCTCTTCCTCTGCTGCTCCTCTGCTCTTCCTCTCCTCTTCCTCTGCTGCTCCTCTTCCTCTCCTCTTCCTCTGCTCTTCCTCTGCTGCTCCTCTTCCTCTCCTCTTCCTCTGCTCTTCCTCTGCTCTTCCTCTCCTCTTCCTCTGCTGCTCCTCTTCCTCTCCTCTTCCTCTGCTCTTCCTCTCCTCTTCCTCTGCTGTCCTCTTCCTCTCCTCTTCCTCTGCTCTTCCTCTCCTCTTCCTCTGCTGCTCCTCTTCCTCTCCTCTTCCTCTGCTCTTCCTCTCCTCTTCCTCTGCTCTTCCTCTCCTCTTCCTCTCTCTTCCTCTGCTCTTCCTCTCCTCTTCCTCTGCTGCTCTTCCTCTCCTCTTCCTCTGCTGCTCCTCTTCCTCTCCTCTTCCTCTGCTCTTCCTCTCCTCTTCCTCTCCTGCTCCTCTTCCTCTGCTCTTCCTCTCCTCTTCCTCTCCTGCTCCTCTTCCTCACCTGCTCCTCTTCCTCTGCTGCTCCTCTTCCTCTGCTCTTCCTCTCCTCTTCCTCTCCTGCTCCTCTTCCTCACCTGCTCCTCTTCCTCTGCTGCTCCTCTTCCTCTGCTCTTCCTCTCCCTTCCTCTGCTGCTCCTCTTCCTCTGCTCTTCCTCTCCTCTTCCTCTCCTTTCCTCTGCTCTTCCTCTCCTCTTCCTCTCCTGCTCCTCTTCCTCACCTGCTCCTCTTCCTCTCCTCTTCCTCTGCTGCTCCTCTTCCTCTTCTCTTCCTCTCCTCTTCCTCTGCTGCTCCTCTTCCTCTCCTCTTCCTCTGCTCTTCCTTGCTGCTCCTCTTCCTCTGCTCTTCCTCTCCTCTTCCTCTCCTTTCCTCTGCTCTTCCTCTCCTCTTCCTCTCCTGCTCCTCTTCCTCACCTGCTCCTCTTCCTCTGCTGCTCCTCTTCCTCTCCTCTTCCTCTCCTCTTCCTCTGCTGCTCCTCTTCCTCTCCTCTTCCTCTGCTCTTCCTCTGCTCTTCCTCTCCTCTTCCTCTGCTCTTCCTCTGCTGCTCCTCTTCCTCTGCTCTTCCTCTCCTCTTCCTCTCCTTTCCTCTGCTCTTCCTCTCCTCTTCCTCTCCTGCTCCTCTTCCTCACCTGCTCCTCTTCCTCTCCTCTTCCTCTGCTGCTCCTCTTCCTCTGCTCTTCCTCTCCTCTTCCTCTCCTTTCCTCTGCTCTTCCTCTCCTCTTCCTCTCCTGCTCCTCTTCCTCACCTGCTCCTCTTCCTCTCCTCTTCCTCTGCTGCTCCTCTTCCTCTGCTCTTCCTCTCCTCTTCCTCTCCTTTCCTCTGCTCTTCCTCTCCTCTTCCTCTCCTGCTCCTCTTCCTCACCTGCTCCTCTTCCTCTCCTCTTCCTCTGCTCTTCCTCTGCTGCTCCTCTTCCTCTCCTCTTCCTCTGCTGCTCCTCTTCCTCTCCTCTTCCTCTGCTCTTCCTCTCCTCTTCCTCTGCTGCTCCTCTTCCTCTCCTCTTCCTCTGCTCTTCCTCTCCTCTTCCTCTGCTGCTCCTCTTCCTCTCCTCTTCCTCTGCTCTTCCTCTCCTCTTCCTCTGCTCTTCCTCTCTCTTCCTCTCTCTTCCTCTGCTCTTCCTCTCCTCTTCCTCTGCTGCTCCTCTTCCTCTCCTGCTCCTCTTCCTCTCCTCTTCCTCTGCTCTTCCTCTCCTCTTCCTCTGCTGCTCCTCTTCCTCTCCTCTTCCTCTGCTCTTCCTCTCCTCTTCCTCTGCTGCTCCTCTTCCTCTCCTGCTCCTCTTCCTCACCTGCTCCTCTTCCTCTGCTCTTCCTCTCCTCTTCCTCTCCTGCTCCTTCCTCACCTGCTCTCTCTTCCTGCTACTCCTCTTCCTCTGCTCTTCCTCTCCTCTTCCTCTGCTGCCTCTTCCTCTGCTCTTCCTCTCCTCTTCCTCTCCTGCTCCTCTTCCTCACCTGCTCCTCTTCCTCTCCTCTTCCTCTGCTGCTCCTCTTCCTCTGCTCTTCCCTCCTCTTCCTCTGCTGCTCCTCTTCCTCTCCTCTTCCTCTGCTCTTCCTCTGCTGCTCCTCTTCCTCTGCTCTTCCTCTCCTCTTCCTCTCCTTTCCTCTGCTCTTCCTCTCCTCTTCCTCTCCTGCTCCTCTTCCTCACCTGCTCCTCTTCCTCTCCTCTTCCTCTGCTGCTCCTCTTCCTCTGCTCTTCCTCTCCTCTTCCTCTCCTTTCCTCTGCTCTTCCTCTCCTCTTCCTCTCCTCTCTCCTCTTCCTCACCTGCTCCTCTTCCTCTCCTCTTCCTCTGCTGCTCCTCTTCCTCTGCTCTTCCTCTCCTCTTCCTCTTTCCTCTGCTCTTCCTCTCCTCTTCCTCTCCTGCTCCTCTTCCTCACCTGCTCTCTCCTCTCCTCTTCCTCTGCTGCTCCTCTTCCTCTTCTCTTCCTCTCCTCTTCCTCTGCTGCTCCTCTTCCTCTCCTCTTCCTCTTCTCTCTCGCTGCTCCTCTTCCTCTGCTCTTCCTCCTCTTCCTCTCCTTTCCTCTGCTCTTCTCTCCTCTTCCTCTCCTGCTCCTCTTCCTCACCTGCTCCTCTTCCTCTGCTGCTCCTCTTCCTCTCCTCTTCCTCTCCTCTTCCTCTGCTGCTCCTCTTCCTCTCCTCTTCCTCTGCTCTTCCTCTGCTGCTCCTCTTCCTCTCCTCTTCCTCTTCTCTTCCTCTCCTCTTCCTCTCCTGCTCCTCTTCCTCACCTGCTCCTCTTCCTCTGCTCTTCCTCTCCTCTTCCTCACCTGCTCCTCTTCCTCTGCTCTTCCTCTCTTCCTCTGCTGCTCCTCTTCCTCTCCTCTTCCTCTGCTGCTCCTCTTCCTCTGCTTCCTCTCCTCTTCCTCTCCTGCTCCTCTTCCTCACCTGCTCCTCTTCCTCTTCTCTTCCTCTCCTCTTCCTCTCCTGCTCCTCTTCCTCTGCTCTTCCTCTCCTCTTCCTCTGCTGCTCCTCTTCCTCTCCTCTTCCTCTGCTGCTCCTCTCCTCTGCTCTTCCTCTCCTCTTCCTCTGCTGCTCCTCTTCCTCTCCTCTTCCTCTCCTGCTCCTCTCCTTTTTCTCTCCTCTTCCTCTCCTCTCCTCTTTCTCTCCTCTTCTTCTCCTTTCCTCCTCCTCTCCTTTCCTCTTCCTCTCCTCTTCCTCTCCTGCTCCTCTCCTCTTCCTCTCCTCTTCCTCTCCTCGGACCACCGCAGGAAGTGGCGCAGCAGCTCATGACCCTAATATGACCCTCTGCGCTGCCTACAGGGAAACCCTGTAAAAACTACCAGCAGTACTGTGGCTATGGAACACCAATAGGGACACACTAAAAAACTCCTGAACTCATAACGTTATTGATTTTTATTAAAATTGGAGTTCTGAGGGGGAATCATCGAAATTACATCAATTAAAAAATTGTAAACATTTTTGTAGGAAAAAAAACTGAACAAAAGTTAAAAACAATTTTATCAGAATTCTGCAGAATACATTTGCAAAAAGAGAAAAGAAAAATAAAGACCTGCCTTCTGGCCGAGATTCCTCTTTAGTTATCAGTTATGAAATGTTATTAGTTCTCATTCACAGAAGCCAGCAAGTTGCACAAAGACTTTGTTTAAGATGATTATTGTATTGATTATTGTGTCATGTTAAAATGTTTCATATCTGATTAAATGTAGAGAAAAGTCTGGATTTCAAATGTGTGACCGATGTTACTGCAGGAACAGATTCCTTTATAAAATATTTATATATTTTACCAAATATTCCCCATCAGGCACTGTGTTTGGGGGTTTGTCCCGCCGGCGGTGCCTCGCTCCGCTGAAGTCAACATGGAGAACAACTGCTGCAGACACTGCTGCAGACACCAAACTGCTGCAGACGCTGCTGCAGACACCAAACTGCTGCAGAAACTGCTGCAGACACCAAACTGCTGCAGAAACTGCTGCAGACACCAAACTGCTGCAGAAACTGCTGCAGACGGGGGATTTTATCACACAGTCAAAGGAAAAAGGACACAGAAGAAGCTAAAAGTTTTTCACCTGCTTAATAATAAACTGGGTTGAGATGCTTTCATTAATAAATACATTTGTTGTGTTTTGCTGGAAAAAGTTGAGTAAACTTTTGCAAATTAAAAATGTTAAAAGGAGGTTTGTTCCCATTTTGAAATTCTTAAAGGGCTGGACAGAAAATAAAAAACATTTTTTGTCCATTCTGAGCCATGAAAACAATATTTAGGTCATTTTTATTAAATTTCCAAGTTTAATAAAACTGGATTTGCTGGATAGATTGTTAGATTTTAGTTTGGCTGTAATGATTTTACTTTGATTGAAAATAAAAATAAAAAGTTCTTCTTCCAGAGCAGAGTGAAGCTTCATGGTTTGTATTTACATGTCAACAGAATCAGTTCAGTTTGTACAGGCTAAGCTGAGACCGGACTCTTCAGTGGGCAGGACGTCCTTCTCAGGCTTTTCCCCGTCCACGTCACCGTCTGACCCGACCCGATCCAAGCAGAACCAGCGTCTCTATCGCGCCTCCTCACCTGCAACAGGTCAGACATAAACAGCAGTAAAACCCAAACCATCATGAAGTTTGGCTTCTGTTTGGAACTAATACTGGAACCCCACCTGAGACCGGACCCAAACCCCACATCAGACCGGACCCAAACCCCACCTGAGACCGGACCCAAACCCCATCTGAGACCGGACCCAAACCCCAACTGATACCGGACCCAAACCCCACCTGAGACCGGACCCAAACCCCACCTGAGACCGGACCCAAACCCCACATCAGACCGGACCCAAACCCCACCTGATACCGGACCCAAACCCCACCTGATACCGGACCCAAACCCCATCTGATACCGGACCCAAACCCCACCTGAGACCGGACCCAAACCCCACCTGATACCGGACCACAACCCCATCTGATACCGGACCCAAACCCCACCTGATACCGGACCACAACCCCATCTGATACCGGCCCAAACCCCACCTGAGACCGGACCACAACCCCACCTGAGACCGGACCCAAACCCCGGACCCAAACCCACCTGAGACCGGACCCAAACCATCTGATACCGGACCCAAACCCCACCTGAGACCGGACCCAAACCCCACCTGAGACCGGACCCAAACCCCACCTGAGACCGGACCCAAACCCCACCTGAGACCGGACCCAAACCCCATCTGATACCGAACCCAAACCCCATCTGATACCGAACCCAAACCCCACCTGAGACCGGACCCAAACCCCACCTGAGACCGGACCCAAACCCCACCTGAGACCGGACCCAAACCCCGGACCCAAACCCCACCTGATACCGGACCCAAACCCCATCTGATACTGGACCCAAACCCCACCTGAGACCGGACCCAAACCCCATCTGATACTGGACCCAAACCCCACCTGAGACCGGACCCAAACCCCATCTGATACCGGACCCAAACCCCACCTGAGACCGGACCCAAACCCCACCTGATACCGGACCATACCCCATCTGATACCGGACCCAAACCCCACCTGAGACCGGACCCAAACCCCACCTGAGACCGGACCCAAACCCCATCTGATACCGGACCCAAACCCCACCTGAGACCGGACCCAAACCCCACCTGAGACCGGACCCAAACCCCACCTGATACCGGACCCAAACCCCGGACCCAAACCCCACCTGAGACCGGACCCAAACCCCATCTGATACCGGACCCAAACCCCACCTGAGACCGGACCCAAACCCCACCTGATACCGGACCCAAACCCCGGACCCAAACCCCACCTGAGACCGGACCCAAACCCCATCTGATACCGGACCCAAACCCCACCTGAGACCGGACCCAAACCCCATCTGATACCGGACCCAAACCCCACCTGAGACCGGACCCAAACTCCACCTGAGACCGGACCCAAACCCCACCTGAGACCGGACCCAAACCCCACCTGAGACCGAACCCATACCCCATCTGATACCGGACCCAAACCCCACCTGAGACCGGACCCAAACCCCACCTGAGACCGGACCCAAACCCACCTGAGACCGGACCCAAACCCCACCTGAGACCGGACCCAAACCCCACCTGAGACCGGACCCATACCCCATCTGATACCGGACCCAAACCCCACCTGAGACCGGACCCAAACCCCACCTGAGACCGGACCCAAACCCACCTGAGACCGGACCCATACCCCATCTGATACCGGACCCAAACCCCACCTGAGACCGGACCCATACCCCATCTGATACCGGACCCAAACCCCACCTGAGACCGGACCCAAACCCCACCTGAGACCGGACCCAAACCCCGGACCCAAACCCCACCTGATACCGGACCCAAACCCCACCTGAGACCGGACCCAAACCCCACCTGATACCGGACCCAAACCCCACCTGAGACCGGACCCAGCATATCCTAAACACAGAGTTCCGAAACAAACCGGGCCACTGAGAGTACTGGGTCGCCGGTACCTTTGTTTGGGATGAAGTGGATAGAGTGGCTGAAGATTCAGAACCGGGATGTCCCGTTTTCTGGACCGTCATTCAGGAACTGGTGGCCCAGTCCAGAGCCACACTTCCCACACAGAACCTGTGAAGGAAAAACAGAAGGGCGTTAGTTCTCCATGGTCCCGGTTCTGGTCCTGGGTCTGGGCCCGGTTCTGGTCCCGGTGCCGATCGGACCTTGAAGGCGGTGAGGGTCTCCATCATCTTGGTGACACTGTCTTCCCTCAGCGTGTCTCTGAACGCCGGCCATGGAGACGAGTGGGGGAAACTTGGAGCGGCTGGAGAACAGGGGGTGGAGACAGCGGGAGCAGACGTACAGTCCTGCAGGGAAGAGGTCAGAGGTCAGAGGTAGAGGAATGACCTCTGGCTATTGAATTAATTCATTCAACCGAATCATTTCTCATCAAAATTCTCTTCCTTCCTGCACTTAAAAGGTGCTGATACTACATCATCTTTAATACTATAATTACTGATATTATTATTACTATTGTTATTATGATTATTATAATTATTGTTATTAAAGCAAAATAATAAGCAGGTAAATTGGACACCAACATTTTGGTTCTTTAAAGACCTTCAGTAGATTGATGTCTGTTTCTGTCCACATGATCGTGGATGATAAGATAACAGGTCATCAGGTCAGGCTGAGGCAGCGCAGGAAGAAATGCTGCCACCTGCAGGTGGGAGGGTGCATCACTTGAGCTGAATGTTTTTCACCATTTTTTGTTGAAAATTGGCAACAAAACAACATAACTCACAATCATCCATCAGTGCAAAAAACAAGCAGTGAACTGTTGTATTTCTATGATGAAACCCAAAGGGCTGCCTAAAGCATGATGCTGCCACTACCATGCTTCACTGTGGGCATGGTGTTCTGGAGGTCCAGTCGTTGGTACCGTTGCAGCTGATCCGGAACGTCTTCACTGAGGTTCTGTTAGTTCTAATCCAGAATCCAGCAGAACCTCCTCTAAAAACCGTTCTGGGATGTAACGTCACTTCCGGTTGACTCACCTGGTTTAAAGTGATCCTTGTAGATTTCCTCTCCACCGAACCGACAGAAGGACATGTTCGATTGCTCGACCAGAACCACAAAGATAATCCTAATCTGGGTTATGCTCCTCCTCACTGACGGAACCGCTGAGATTCTGCTTGCTACATGTGACGTCATCACAGCTGACGCCGGTGTAAGGTGGAGCTCCTCCCCTCCATCATGGCTGCCGCTAGATGGCAGTGTCGGACAACAGCAGGATATTATCTGTTTCAGCCCGATTATTTTCTGCTTTATTTAAAATTAAAAACAAGAACAGTTTATCTGGGAGACATGAATGGACGTTTTTATTTGATTTCTTCAGACATTTGAAAAGATCTCCGCTTCTTCTTTTCTCTGCACATCTAGACGCTTCATTCATACTTGCAGTAGTGCTTCAGCGCGTCAGGCAGCTGCAGCCAGTCGATGGCCGTCCTGTGGACAATGTGCTTCTGAATGGCCTTCCTGCACAGCGTCTGCAGAGAGGAGACTGAGAGACAACAGATCACTGATCAAGAGAAATCTGCAGGACACCACTTAGAAACCTGTCAAAAAACAAACAGCTACCACAAAAAGGCTGCTAGAGCAGATGAAAATGATTATGAATGCAGAAGCAGAAAATCTCAAATAAGAGCAAATAATTTCTAGAAACTATAATAAGATAAGACAACATGACAGAGATACATCTGAGGAACAATTGAGAAATAAATTCTAATGATGTCAGCCCAACAACACCATGACATTGTGTTTCCACCAACATTTTATATGTGATGGAAAATGTTGTAATGTTCTCCTCACCTCCTGCTTATCATGAGGCTGGTCAAGCGGCTCTCACAGTGACCTCTGCAGTGACCTCTGCAGTGTCAGATAACAGCAGGAGGTCCTTGATCCTGGAAGCTCTCAATGTTTCTTCCCAACCCAAAACTCTCCTTCCACCCAAGAACAACCCCCGACCTGAACAGCGGACCAATGGGAGACCGTCTGAGCTGGGCTCCACAGAATCCCTGGTTCGTCACAATCAGGGATTCACGGCTCCGGTCCAATCAAGTCTTCTCTGACCGGAACCTGAAGCCGGATCCACTGCTGGTCAGACAGACTGACAGACTCCTGTCACTCTGGATTTCTGCTCTCACCTTGCAAGGTTTCAATACTTTTCTATTTTTTCTCATCCAGACTCTTGTTAAAGTCTTTTCTGATATCACAACTGCCGTATTAGAAAAGGTTCATGGACACAGAAAAATTAAGAATTTCCTTAATTTTTTAATGTAAAAACTTAAAAAGTTTTTACATTCACTGGAGGGATTTGACTTTTCCAAAGAAGACTTGCCCACACATAGCAGAGTCTTCATAGAAACAAATATCTTTTTCACATCTTTAAAAGGTAGCATCATACTCCTGAGCATTGTTTTAAACATGCCAACCCACAGGGGGCAGTGTAGCGCTATGCTAAGACCCGTCAGCCAATCAGATTGCTTCAAAAATAACCAGCACTTCCTGTTAGGAATTAAATATGGCGCCAGGAAGTTCATTTGTGATGACAGACAGAGAGGTTGAATTACTTTTCAATTAGAATATAAAATTAATAAGATGTAGCCTACTTATTAACTGAAAACATTCGCCTTTTATATTAGCGGATTATGTGTCAGACTATTGCACAGGAAGCAACATTTCCATTTTCCATTGAACAAAAACATGGAGTTTTGTCAAGTTTCCATTTGGTCAAAGTTTTTATGAATATTGGTTCCATTAAGAGGTTTTGGTGTTTGTTTTCCCAGATATCCTGCGATGTCTGGACTAGGCCTCAATGCGCCAACTGGAAGCAGGTCCACTGACGGCTCTGAGCCTTACCAGAGGAACCAAACTCTGAGGCAGGAGTCGCTCTCTGCTCTGAGACCTGTGGTCCATGCTAGTTAGCAAATTACTTCCTGTTTCTTCCAGCTGTTGCGGAAAGTGATAATCAGTGCATGTTGTCCTCCGGTCAGAAGGGGGCGCTGCCTGCTGCTGCAGCAGGTGAGAGACGGTGTGTGGAGACACGCAGTGGTCGTAGTGCCGCCTGTTTGTTAAGCCGAAGCTGTTAAATTGACCTCTGACCCCCGCCTGGTTTGTGTCCTGACCCCAAAGTGGAGGAAATGGCTCCCTGTGTTTCCGGTCAGCACACAGAACCAGGACCGGGACCAACAACCCGCAGACTTACTGCTTGTGGGTTCCAGCCAAACCAGTAGATGGAAGCAACATGTTAAAGCATAAAGATGGCTCCCGGCACTCACATCCGTACTCCACCTGGACGATGCGAACCGTCTTGGTGGCGGCGAACACGTCCACCACGGCGTACAGCGGCCTGCTGGACGGGAGGCCCCTGGCGGAGGCCCCCATGTCCTCTCCGTTGATCACGATGTGCATGTCGGCCGAGTCTCTGCTCCTCGGTACGTACAGCACTCCGATCCTGCTGCGTCTCGCGGTGGGCGGCAGCGCGTTGGTCCTGTACAGGTCGTCGAGGATGTGGCTGAAACGCCCCGGACGGCTCCGGCCGGCCAGCTTATCTCTGGGGATTCGGACCGAGTCGATGTGCAGGTGAGAGTCCGTGAAGAAGGTCTCTGGTTCGGTGCTGCCTCCGCCTTCGTCCCCTTCCTCTCCACGTCCCAGTCTCCGCCCGGCGAGCCGCAGCTCCGGCTCCAGGACCTTGTTGTGGTTCCGGGTGATGGCGAACACCCAGCTGTCGCCCAGCTCCGTCAGGTCCGGGATGGAGTATTCGGGGACCGCGGCCAGGCTGTGCGGGTCCCGGGCGGTCAGGCCAACCCGCAGGTGGCCGCACCAGCCCAGCTCCTTCTCCTCGATCTCGATCAGGAAGATCTCTCCGGGTCTCAGCGGCCGTTTGCTGAAGCAAACCCCGTTGGCGAAGCTTTCCACTCGGGTGGCCTGCGTTCCCGACTGGTCCAGGACGATGTTGGTACCGTGGTTGGGGTGAAACTCCAGAAACTGGTCAGAAAAAGCCTCCATTTCTTTTTCCGTCAATCAGAACCAGCGGAACCAGAACCAAAAGCTCCTAAAAACAAGTAGGATCAAACTGACCTCAGACTAACACACGGAGGCGTCATGGCGCCCGGACACTGGAGCGCCCTCGACCCTGCTGGGCTATTTTTAATCAGCTGCCCGAGTCAGCGGGAGGGGTGTGTGTGTGTGTGTGTGTGTGTGTGTGTGTGTGTGTGTGTGTGTGTGTGGGTGGGTGGGTGGGTGGGTGTGGTGTGTGTGGTGTGTGTGTGTGTGTGGTGAGACAGAGACCATTGATTGAATGGGAATAACAGGAACAACTAAACCCATCATCATTTATCATTACATCAGATTGAGTCAGAATGAATTCCTACCCATCATGCTCAGGGGAAACATGCAGAAACATCAAGCATTCATAAAGCACGCTAATTAAAGATGGCCGCTCGCTGTGTTCCCAGTGGAGGAAAGTTTAGATCCTCTGGAGGCTACAGAAACCTGGATTCACCACAGCAGGAAATGGATTCCTTCACAATAAACTTACCCCCCTCTCTCTCTCTTTCTCTCTCTCTTTTCTCTCTCTCTTTCTCTCTCTCTTTTCTCTCTCTCTTTCTCTCTCTCTTTTCTCTCTCTCTCTTTCTCTCTCTCTTTTCTCTCTCTCTCTTTCTCTCTTTTTCTCTCTCTTTTTTTTCTCTCTCTCTCTTGTGTTCAGAGGTCAGAAAGGAGGAAGAGATTTATTATTTAATTTCCTCTGTTTCAGCTCTTGACCCATTTCTGCACACGAGGTAATGAAGAACCAAAACTATCACATTTTTAAAACAACATTAAGTGATCAACAGGCCTGAGTAACTCTGGAGGAGCTGCAGGGAAACATGGCTCAGGTGGAAAGTCTGCTGAAAGGAAAAACACTCCACAAGTCTGCGAGTCTTCCTGCGGGAACAGGAAGCCGGTCAGAGCTGAAGACGGGAAATGAACAAGAGTTGAAGGATGAGGAGCCTGAACATCCAGACAGAGATATTATGGGATGCCATGTTGGGATGACTTCCTGGAGGCGGAGCTGCAGAAACAGCAGGAACTTTTAAAGAGACAGAGGCCCAATGTCAATGCCTTAAATTACAAAGTAGAATATATTTGATATTTAGAAAATTTTTATAATAACTGAAGGTAATATAGTTACTGCTTGTGATATAAAATGTAACTATGAACCTGGAAAACACGTAATGTTGCACAGCTGGTTCACAAAATATTCACTCCTTAATAAAAGCAACATTTTATTTGTCAAAACAAACACATGCAGAATTTCAATACTGTACATCACATAAAATGTTGATAAAACATGATAAAATATGAATCATTTTAGAATTAATCTGCACACTGTATCTTGAATTAGGCCTTTTAGCTGTAAACCGGAAGACGCCCATATAAGGAGCTGCGGTGGAACCTATAGACGTCCAGCTATAGGAGAGCAGGCAGCAGCTGGATTATTTAATCTGGATTATCCTGCAGCGTCACACATCTGGTAGTCTGGCAGGCGCACACAGCTGAGAGAGAGATTTTGGTCCAGAACCTCTCAGATGGAACCGGAACCAACAGCAGAACCAACCAGAGCTTCAGGCTCGGTGAGTCAAACGTTTTTATTCCTCCTTATTAAAAGCTTTGTTTTAAACTGAATTATTATTATTATGAACAGATGTGTCCAGGTCTCCATCTTTACAGATCTCAACTTTTCATTCCTACTTCTGCTCTTTGCGAATAAGTCATAAATTATTACTTTAATTAACTAATTAAAATATCAGGAAAATATATGAATAATGTCTGAAAGGTCAATTTAATATCACTTCAATAATGAAAATCTTGCTTTATTTACAAAAAGCCAAACTATTTCTGATCTTGATCCTGAAGTCGCAGTACCAAACTCCACCAGCAGGCGGCGCTCAGAGTGTTCTGGTCTGAAGTGGACTTTCTGTTTTCACTCATAATTTATTACATTATGAAATTATGAAGTCAAAAACTATTTTACAGGATTTTATGTTGGATGTTTAAATATGAAATTCATAATTATTTTATTGTTTAAACGTTCAGTTGATTTGTTGAGTTAGATCGTTTAGATTTATCTACATTATAATAAACATTATGATGATATTAGAGATGGGGTGAGGAGCTCGGTCATGCAGGAGGGGTCAGACTAGAGCTGCTGCTCCTCCACATGGAGAGGATCCCTGTGAGGCGTTCAGGTCCCACCGGGAGGAGAGGAAAACCAGGACACGCTGATCCCGGCCGGCCTGGAGCTAGAGGCTGGGAGAGGGAAGCCTGGGCCTCCATGCTTAGGCTGCTGACCCCGCGACCCCACCCTGATAAGGATGAATGGATGGATTATGGAATCACTTCATCAGTTTATGCATTACATTTTCCTTGTTTAAAATAATTTTACAATTATTGATTTATTTCACTTCATTGATTGATTGATTGTGCTCATGCGTGGCTCATCGCATCGTTTATCATTATTGTGGGAGATTTCTCATAAGAATTTACATTTTTAAGAAAATTATTAAATTCCAGTTCATGAAGAGTTAATTGTCAGGATTGTTGCTGTTTTCTATTTGGCTGAGAAACACCAATAAATATCAATAAACTCAAACAATATGCTGAAATATAATTAGTCTCTGCAGTTTAGTGAGGCTGCCCTGAAGAAGCCTGATTATTTATGAACACAGAACTAAAAACAGCTGAATAGGAGTTTATTATTCCACAAATGATCAGATTATCAGATTATCTGCTTCTGGTAAATTTATCTCCAAACTGCCAGAAATATTGACAGAAACAACAGAACATTTTAATCTGACAGATTTATTGTATTTATTGTTGCTGATGAAGTGATGAATCCCACACGAGCAGAAAATTTCCAGGGTGATTAACCAGAATTTGTAATCAGATTAGAGATTAATAAACTGCCGGATTAACTCCTAATTCTGTCAGCTGGACGGTTTCTACATTAAGTCTAGACCGACGATCCCTGTGAGGCGCTGGGTCTCCACAGGTCACTGACAGGAACCAGTAAACCCAGTAACAGTCATGAGAGGAAGCCGGCATACCCAGACAGAACCAGAACCCGACCAGAACCAGGACCCAACCAGAACCAGAACCCGACCAGAACCAGGACCCAGACAAAACCCGACCAGAACCAGGACCCGACCAGAACCAGGAACCAACCAGAACCAGGACCCAACCAGAACCAGGACCCGACCAGAACCAAACCCGACCAGAACCAGGACCCGACCAGAACCAGGACCCGACCAGAACCCGACCAGAACCAGAACCCGACCAGAACCAGGACCCGACCAGAACCAGAACCCGACCAGAACCCGACCAGAACCAGGACCCAGACAGAACCAGAACCCGACCAGAACCAGGACCCGACCAGAACCAGGACCCGACCAGAACCAGAACCCGACCAGAACCAGAACCCGACCAGAACCCGACCAGAACCAGAACCCGACCAGAACCAGGACCCGACCAGAACCAGGACCCGACCAGAACCAGGACCCAGAACCGGACCAGAACCAGGACCCGACCAGAACCAGAACCCGACCAGAACCAGAACCCGACCAGAACCCGACCAGAACCAGGACCCGACCAGAACCAGAACCCGACCAGAACCAGGACCCGACCAGAACCAGGACCCAGAACCGGACCAGAACCAGGACCCGACCAGAACCAGAACCCGACCAGAACCAGAACCCGACCAGAACCCGACCAGAACCAGAACCCGACCAGAACCCGACCAGAACCAGAACCCGACCAGAACCAGGACCCGACCAGAACCAGAACCCGACCAGAACCAGGACCCGACCAGAACCAGGACCCGACCAGAACCAGGACCCGACCAGAACCAGAACCCGACCAGAACCCGACCAGAACCAGGACCCGACCAGAACCAGAACCCGACCAGAACCAGGACCCGACCAGAACCAGGACCCGACCAGAACCAGGACCCGACCAGAACCAGAACCCGACCAGAACCCGACCAGAACCAGGACCCAGACAGAACCAGAACCCGACCAGAACCAGGACCCGACCAGAACCAGGACCCGACCAGAACCAGAACCCGACCAGAACCAGAACCCGACCAGAACCCGACCAGAACCAGAACCCGACCAGAACCAGGACCCGACCAGAACCAGGACCCGACCAGAACCAGGACCCAGAACCGGACCAGAACCAGGACCCGACCAGAACCAGAACCCGACCAGAACCAGAACCCGACCAGAACCCGACCAGAACCAGGACCCGACCAGAACCAGAACCCGACCAGAACCAGGACCCGACCAGAACCAGGACCCGACCAGAACCAGGACCCGACCAGAACCAGAACCCGACCAGAACCAGAACCCGACCAGAACCAGAACCCGACCAGAACCAGAACCCGACCAGAACCAGAACCCGACCAGAACCAGAACCCGACCAGAACCAGGACCCGACCAGAACCAGGACCCAGAACCGGACCAGAACCAGGACCCGACCAGAACCAGAACCCGACCAGAACCAGAACCCGACCAGAACCCGACCAGAACCAGGACCCGACCACAACCAGGACCCGACCAGAAACAGGACCCGACCAGAACCAGAACCCGACCAGAACCCGACCAGAACCAGAACCCGACCAGAACCAGAACCCGACCAGAACCAGGACCCGACCAGAACCAGGACCCGACCAGAAACAGGACCCGACCAGAACCAGAACCCGACCAGAACCCGACCAGAACCAGGACCCAGACAAAACCCGACCAGAACCAGGACCCGACCAGAACCAGGAACCAACCAGAACCAGAACCAGGACCCAGAACCGGACCAGAACCAGGACCCGACCAGAACCAGAACCAGGACCCAGAACCGGACCAGAACCAGGACCCGACCAGAACCAGGACCCAGACAGAACCAGGACCCGACCAGAACCAGGACCCAGAGCCAGAACCGGACCAGAACCAGGACCCAGAACCAGAACCAGAACCGGACCAGAACCAGGACCAGGACCCGACCAGAACCAGAACCCGACCAGAACCAGGACCCAGACAGAACCCGACCAGAACCAGGACCCGACCAGAACCAGAACCAGGACCCAGAACCGGACCAGAACCAGGACCCGACCAGAACCAGGACCAGGACCCAGAACCGGACCAGAACCAGGACCCGACCAGAACCAGGACCAGGACCCAGAACCGGACCAGAACCAGGACCCGACCAGAACCAGGACCCAGACAGAACCAGAACCCGACCAGAACCAGGACCCAGACAGAACCCGACCAGAACCAGGACCCGACCAGAACCAGGACCCAACCAGAACCAGGACCCGACCAGAACCAGGACCCAACCAGAACCAGGACCCGACCAGAACCAGGACCCGACCAGAACCAGAACCCGACCAGAACCAGAACCCGACCAGAACCCGACCAGAACCAGAACCCGACCAGAACCAGGACCCGACCAGAACCAGGACCCAGACAGAACCCGACCAGAACCAGGACCCAGAACCGGACCAGAACCAGAACCAGGACCAAGAACCCGACCAGAACCAGGACCCGACCAGAACCAGAACCAGGACCCAGAACCGGACCAGAACCAGGACCAGGACCAGAACCAGGACCCAGACAGAACCAGGACCCGACCAGAACCAGAACCAGAACCAGGACCCGACCAGAACCAGAACCAGACCAGAACCAGGACCCAGACAGAACCAGGACCCGACCAGAACCAGAACCAGGACCCAGAACCGGACCAGAACCAGGACCCGACCAGAACCAGGACCCAACCAGAACCAGAACCCGACCAGAACCCGACCAGAACCAGGACCCGACCAGAACCAGGACCCGACCAGAACCAGAACCAGGACCCAGAACCGGACCAGAACCAGGACCCGACCAGAACCAGAACCAGGACCCAGAACCGGACCAGAACCAGGACCCGACCAGAACCCGACCAGAACCAGGACCCAGAACCGGACCAGAACCAGAACCAGGACCCAGACAGAACCCGACCAGAACCAGGACCCGACCAGAACCAGAACCCGACCCGACCAGAACCAGGACCCAGACAGAACCCGACCAGAACCAGGACCCGACCAGAACCAGGACCCGACCAGAACCAGGACCCGACCAGAACCAGGACCCAGACAGGACCCGACCAGAACCAGAACCCGACCAGAACCAGGACCCAGAACCAGAACCAGGACCCAGACAGAACCCGACCAGAACCAGAACCAGGACCCAGAACCGGACCAGAACCAGGACCCGACCAGAACCAGGACCCAGACAGAACCCGACCAGAACCAGGACCCGACCAGAACCAGGACCCAACCAGAACCAGAACCCGACCAGAACCAGGACCCGACCAGAACCAGAACCCAACCAGAACCCGACCAGAACCAGGACCCGACCAGAACCAGGACCCGACCAGAACCAGGACCAGAACCAGAACCAGGACCCAGACAGAACCCGACCAGAACCAGAACCCGACCAGAACCAGGACCCAGACAGAACCCGACCAGAACCAGGACCCGACCAGAACCAGAACCCGACCAGAACCAGGACCCAGAACCAGAACCAGGACCCAGACAGAACCCGACCAGAACCAGAACCAGGACCCAGAACCGGACCAGAACCAGGACCCGACCAGAACCAGGACCCGACCAGAACCAGAACCCAACCAGAACCCGACCAGAACCAGGACCCGACCAGAACCAGGACCCAGACAGAACCCGACCAGAACCAGGACCCGACCAGAACCAGGACCCGACCAGAACCAGGACTCGACCAGAACCAGGACCCAACCAGAACCAGAACCCGACCAGAACCAGGACCCGACCAGAACCAGAACCAGGACCCAGAACCGGACCAGAACCAGGACCCGACCAGAACCAGGACCCAACCAGAACCAGAACCCGACCAGAACCAGGACCCGACCAGAACCAGAACCCAACCAGAACCCGACCAGAACCAGGACCCGACCAGAACCAGGACCCGACCAGAACCAGGACCCAGAACCAGAACCAGGACCCAGACAGAACCCGACCAGAACCAGAACCCGACCAGAACCAGGACCCAGACAGAACCCGACCAGAACCAGGACCCGACCAGAACCAGAACCCGACCAGAACCAGGACCCAGAACCAGAACCAGGACCCAGACAGAACCCGACCAGAACCAGAACCAGGACCAGAACCGGACCAGAACCAGGACCCGACCAGAACCAGGACCCGACCAGAACCAGAACCCAACCAGAACCCGACCAGAACCAGGACCCGACCAGAACCAGGACCCAGACAGAACCCGACCAGAACCAGGACCCGACCAGAACCAGGACCCGACCAGAACCAGGACTCGACCAGAACCAGGACCCAACCAGAACCAGAACCCGACCAGAACCAGGACCCGACCAGAACCAGAACCAGGACCCAGAACCGGACCAGAACCAGGACCCGACCAGAACCAGGACCCAGACAGAACCCGACCAGAACCAGGACCCGACCAGAACCCGACCAGAACCAGGACCCAGAACCGGACCAGAACCAGGACCAGGACCCAGACAGAACCCGACCAGAACCAGAACCCGACCAGAACCAGGACCCAGACAGAACCCGACCAGAACCAGGACCCGACCAGAACCAGAACCCGACCAGAACCAGGACCCAGAACCAGAACCAGGACCCAGACAGAACCCGACCAGAACCAGAACCAGGACCCAGAACCGGACCAGAACCAGGACCCGACCAGAACCAGGACCCGACCAGAACCAGAACCCAACCAGAACCCGACCAGAACCAGGACCCGACCAGAACCAGGACCCAGACAGAACCCGACCAGAACCAGGACCCGACCAGAACCAGGACCCGACCAGAACCAGGACTCGACCAGAACCAGGACCCAACCAGAACCAGAACCCGACCAGAACCAGGACCCGACCAGAACCAGAACCAGGACCCAGAACCGGACCAGAACCAGGACCCGACCAGAACCAGGACCCAGACAGAACCCGACCAGAACCAGGACCCGACCAGAACCCGACCAGAACCAGGACCCAGAACCGGACCAGAACCAGGACCAGGACCCAGACAGAACCCGACCAGAACCAGAACCCGACCAGAGCTGCTTCAACAGATGCATGCATAATGTAGAGCATAAATAAGTAAACGCTGATTGAGCTGCAGCCGCTCCGACCTGCAGACTCAGGATGGAAAGTTGATGGGAATCAGCTTTAGCTCCTAATCCTGCTGGATGATTTGTCAGATTTTACAGTAAAATCCTGATTTAACCGTAATCTGGGTTTGTTGGTGGCTGTGAGCGTTCAGAGCAGGAGTGGATAAAGAAGGGTTAGGGGTAAGAAACCGGCAGCAGCTTCTCCGGTTTAGCGCTCAGGAAACGAAACGGTGGCTCAGTGGTTCTGGTGCTGCAGCTTCCCGCCCCACCAGGGGGCGCTCTGGGACTCAGCCCGGCCCTCAGGCTCTTCCCCTCCTCCATGTTGGGAGAAGAGATTATAGCGACTCCACCAGCTGCTTGGTTCACATTGTGCCGCGCAGCTTTTTAATGCCGTTACGTAAATGCGATCAGTTGGAAGTCGGGTTAACTTGCATCCAGAGCTGCAGCCACGGCGGCTCTGATCGCTGCGGTTTCCTCTCGGCTGGAAACAGCAGCGATCAGGTCCAGGATTCCAGACGCTTTAAGTCGTGACGGGAAATGAGCCGCTGATCATTTGACCAGCAGCAAAACTCATGTCTGCTTTTCTGACTCACAGTTTCTGTTTTTAAATGTTTGATCGGCCTCCATTCAGCTTCTCCTCACTTCATCACTAAACATTCAAACGTTATTGACATTTCCTGCCTCAATATGAAGAATGAGTCTGAATCAGACGTTTGGATCAAACTCCAGGCCCAGTTGTCCCAGTTGCCCCAGTTGTCCCAGTTGCCCCAGTTGTCCCAGTTGTCCCAGTTGCCCCAGTTGTCCCAGTTGTCCCAGTTGCCCCAGTTGTCCCAGTTGCCCCAGTTGTCCCAGTTGCCCCACTTGTCCCAGTTGCCCCAGTTGTCCCAGTTGCCCCAGTTGTCCCAGTTGCCCCAGTTGTCCCAGTTGCCCCAGTTGTCCCAGTTGTCCCAGTTGCCCCAGTTGCCCCAGTTGTCCCAGTTGCCCCAGTTGTCCCAGTTGTCCCAGTTGCCCCACTTGTCCCAGTTGCCCCACTTGTCCCAGTTGCCCCAGTTGTCCCAGTTGCCCCAGTTGTCCCAGTTGTCCCAGTTGCCCCAGTTGTCCCAGTTGTCCCAGTTGCCCCAGTTGTCCCAGTTGCCCCAGTTGTCCCAGTTGCCCCAGTTGTCCCAGTTGCCCCAGTTGTCCCAGTTGTCCCAGTTGTCCCAGTTGCCCCAGTTGTCCCAGTTGCCCCAGTTGTCCCAGTTGCCCCAGTTGTCCCAGTTGCCCCAGTTGTCCCAGTTGTCCCAGTTGCCCCAGTTGTCCCAGTTGCCCCAGTTGTCCCAGTTGTCCCAGTTGCCCCAGTTGTCCCAGTTGTCCCAGTTGCCCCAGTTGCCCCAGTTGTCCCAGTTGTCCCAGTTGCCCCAGTTGTCCCAGTTGTCCCAGTTGCCCCAGTTGTCCCAGTTGCCCCAGTTGCCCCAGTTGTCCCAGTTGCCCCAGTTGTCCCAGTTGTCCCAGTTGTCCCAGTTGCCCCAGTTGTCCCAGTTGTCCCAGTTGCCCCAGTTGTCCCAGTTGCCCCAGTTGTCCCAGTTGTCCCAGTTGCCCCAGTTGTCCCAGTTGCCCCAGTTGTCCCAGTTGTCCCAGTTGCCCCAGTTGTCCCAGTTGTCCCAGTTGCCCCAGTTGTCCCAGTTGCCCCAGTTGTCCCAGTTGTCCCAGTTGCCCCAGTTGTCCCAGTTGTCCCAGTTGCCCCAGTTGTCCCAGTTGCCCAGTTCCCAGTTGTCCCAGTTGTCCCAGTTGCCCCAGTTGTCCCAGTTGTCCCAGTTGCCCCAGTTGTCCCAGTTGCCCCAGTTGTCCCAGTTGTCCCAGTTGCCCCAGTTGTCCCAGTTGTCCCAGTTGTCCCAGTTGTCCCAGTTGCCCCAGTTGTCCCAGTTGCCCCAGTTGTCCCAGTTGCCCCAGTTGTCCCAGTTGCCCCAGTTGCCCCAGTTGTCCCAGTTGCCCCAGTTGTCCCAGTTGCCCCAGTTGCCCCAGTTGTCCCAGTTGTCCCAGTTGCCCCAGTTGTCCCAGTTGTCCCAGTTGTCCCAGCTTCAGAGGGAAACTGAGCCTGAAGCTCATCAGTCTGGAGTTGGCTGCATTCAGACACAAGTTAATGCCTGGTTGGTGCTTTTTGCAGAAGTGAGTGAGAGAAGCAGTCCTTGGTCTCTGACTGCTGACCGGGTTTGTCTTCTGCTGACCCACAGGTTTGGACATGCGAAGCAGAGAAATGGCGGATGATGGGAAAAGCGGGGAGGGAGGAGGCAGGAAGGACACAGGCGAGGGCAGCAGGTCTTTTCATGACCCTCACCAGTCGCGGGGGATCGTGATCCATCTGACCGGCACCGAAGGGGAGTGGGACAGCTTGGAGGACGATGAGCTCATCTTCCCCCTGGAGCACGGCGAGGAGAAGCCGCTTCCTACAGAGGACGACAGAGGCTTGAAGTCCCAGAACTTCTATGTTCCTCTCTCCCCGTCATTGCCTGGTTCCCCGGGGAACTGCTCTGCAGCGCCCCCTAGCTTCCTCTCCCCAGGCCCGCGGCCCTCGGCCGGCCTCGTCAAGTCGCTCTCCACGGAGCTTGAGCCGAAAGACGGCTCCACCCTGAGACCCAAGCCTCTCCTCAGCCTGGTGAAGTCCATCTCCACGGAGCTGTCCCACTCGGAGCCGGAAGTGTCTCAGTCCAGATCGGACTCCCGTCTCAACCTCCACCTGTGGAAACAGCTGACCCAAACCAAACCTGGGCGCGGCGGGGACTCCCGCACGGCCCCGCCGTCCCCCAGCGCGGAGGGCCTGCGGGGGGGCTTCTTCAAGGTGGAGGACACGAAGAGGAAGCTGTCGGAGGCCATGCATGAGCCTCTGAGCTGCATGTTCAGCAGGATCCTGGGGGAAGACGGCGCAGGAAGCCCCAAGCAGCAGGGCAGGGCCGCGGCGGCTCAGCGGGGGAGGGACGGCGGCCATGACCCCGTCCTGGACCCCGTCCTGGACCCCGTCCTGCCAGAGTCTCCGGCGGGGACCGCAAGGAGACCAGATGGAGACGTACTGCCCGTGTTGGACTGGCCGTCGGTGGGCGCGCGGCCCTGCGGGCGGCCCGCTCGTCGCGACGCGCGGCCCGCTGATCGCCGCAGAGACCCGGAGCTGGAAATATGCCATGATGATGACACGATGCAGGTGTTCGCCATTGAAGCTCCCAGCGGGGCCGGGAGGCCGCCTGGAGCTCCAGCAGCGAACACTTCCGGGTCCGGACCGGATCCTCAGCCTCCGCCACGCATGAGTCTCCTCTGCGTGGCGGTTCTGTCCTACGGATACTTCGTGCTTCCTGTGGGCCCGTACGTGTCGGGCCTGGCGTTGGGCCTGGCTCTGGGCTTCCTGCTCGGCCTGTTCCTCGTGCGGCTCGGTTCGTCCGGCTCGGCTGAGGCGCACAGACCCGCGGCGGTTCGGTTCCCGGGCGGCTCCAGCGCGGAGCCCGGCGCCCTGCAGGTAGGCGGGCTGCCGGCTACAGGCCGAACTTCCTCCCCGAACTTCCTTCCCGAACTTCCTTCCCGAACTTCCTCCCCGAACTTCCTCCCACTGTCTGGATTCATGGCTCACATTCTCACAAACTGCTGCTCTAAATGTCACAGGTTGAGTTTGGACCGAAGCCTTTTGCTCAACATTTGCTGTTCGAGTGAAACCCCCCACCCCCGCAGTCCGACACTCATCATCATGCTATTCATTCTGTGCCTCTCTGGCTCAGAATAATGTTTGTCTTCTCAGACAAGTGATGAAAGTATTGGAGGACGATGAGCTACCACTTCCTGGTAGCAGTAGTTCACCTACTGCTACCAGGAAGTGGACTACCAAAATAGCTGTCTCTTCATGTCATCTCTGTCTTTGTTTCAGCATTTCAGCTGAAAACAAAATGCAGTTCAGCAACATGTTGCATCAGCAGCAACTCCACTTTTATTTTGAAAAGCTACTTTTGCTTATTGGCAAGTAGATTCACATATTTAGTTTGAAAATATGACATTTAGAAGTGAATAAATGAATAAGACCTAAAAATGAATCCCATTTTTCCTCTTATTGCAGGAAAATGAAATCATTGCTAATTTTTGCCGCTTTGGTCCTTCTGCCTCTGATTTCAGATTCTCATATGCAGCTGAGATCATAAATCATCTGTTATTACATTTTCAGACATGTCATCCAAAAACACTGAAGGAACAGATTCACAGAAAACTCATAACTTGGATCTTTTTATTCGACTTTGTTTCTTTTCGTCTCCTGCTGATTAAACTGAAGGTCGGGTCACAAGTTTTCATACCAGAGGTCATCAGAGGTCACATCTGCTGGAGGTTGAACAGAACCGAAGGTCTGCAGTGGATTCAGGCTGCATGAACACCAACAATCTGGTTCTGGTTACAAACATTTCATCTCCAGGACCAGAACTCAACCTGAACAGAACCGCGCTGCTGTTATCTGAGGGGAGCGCCGGGCCGCTTCCCGTCCTCCATCACAAGTTTTATTAAAGCAACGCGAGTCCAGAACATCAGGCGCCCGGGTCCAGCCAGGCCCGTCAGAACCGGAGCGGCTCTTTCTGACTGAGCCCGACAGCCGGCTGCAGCAGGCCTCAGAGGCTGGAGGAGGAGGTCAGAGGTCGTCATCGGCAGCTCCATGGAGGATGAAAACGCTGTAGAAGGATAATCTCTGTCCTGGTTGAAAGCTCCAAACTCAGAAAAGTTTCAAGTCCTTTTTAATCTTTTTATCGTCTGGGTTTGTTTTAGCTTCATGCTCGTCTAACGCAGCTGATCCGTTACGTCGCCCAAAGGGAAACTAAATGTTTTTAGATCCTCCAAGTTTATTGCTGAGAGCAGGAAGGGGCTCCTGTAGCAGTCAATGTTTCAGCGAGTCTGCAGAGGCCTCTGACTGAAGACTGCCTGGTCTCATGCTAACATGCTAGCAGCTCATTGGGCAGCAGAGTTGATATTCCACAGTGACATCACCGGTTGCTCTGCTGATCCTCCTCCTTTGCTTTTGGAGGAATAGTGATCCAGTCAGCAGAGCCAACAGAGCTACTATCATGTTCATCACTATTATTATAATTGTAATCATAAACATTCTCATGATGATTGACCTGCTCAGCAGCTTCCTGAGGCTCAGCAGCTCTTCAACCTGCTGTCGCCTTCAGGGTTGGATGAACGAGATCCAGGATTACGACCCAGAAATCTTCCACCCGGCTCTGACTCACTCCGTGTTCGCCACGCTGCAGGGCTGCAGCCTCCGGCTGGATTACCCACGCTGCAACATCAGGCGCCGCACCGTGCGCGGCGACGACCCGCCGCAGGAAGTCAGCTTCATCAAGACGCGCTGCTTCCAGCTGGCAGAGAGCAAAGTAAGACCTGAACGTTTCACTTCACTTCTCTTTCTTAATGCAGATTCCTGCTCCGCGTTCAGGAGCCGGAAATTCAACTGACTGATGGAAAAGTGAGGCAGTAACTATGGAGAGCCAATCCTGCCAGAATGATAATACAGAACTGTAAAAAGAAACTCGACTAATAAGCAAAAGATGAGAAATATTGTAAATGAATAAATGCTGGCAGTGATTGTATTACACAGAGACAAATGTATGCCTCTGTATTAGCTTATTTATTTAATCACCGTTTTTATGAATCATCATTTTCAAAACAAGCAGAAATAAAAAGCTTTGAAGACAAAAACATTTAAATCTGATAACAGACAAAAATCAGAAATAAGGTGATTATATTCATTCAGAAATCAAAGCAGAAAAAGTTTTTGTTTTACTGCAGAGTTCCACAGGTAAACATGTGGTTCTGGTTCTGATGGGTCTGGTTCTGGTTCTGATGGGTCTGGTTCTTCATCATGATGCCTCCTTCCTGAAGGTCTTCCTCCTGCCGGCGGCGCTGGCTCGGAAGAGAGTCTGGAACCCCAAGTATCCCATCTGCATCCAGCTTGGAGCAGAGGAGGACGGAACCGGGTCAGAACAGAACCTAGGTTCTGATCCGGCACAGACTTCCTCCACTCAACCTGGCGCCGCCCCGCCTGCGCTCTACCTGTTCGGAAGGACGGGCCGGGAGAAGGAGGAGTGGTTCCGCCATCTCCTGCTGGCGTCTGCGATCCGGGACGGGCCGAGCCCCGGCCGGTCCAAACGACCCGGTAACAAACGCCTCCAGTTCTGGACACAAAAAGAGCAGAAAGTCTCCTGGGAAATCATCCTCAGGAATAAATGCTGACAGAACCAGAACTACTGAGAGTCCAAATACTGCAGCGGGTCGGGAAGCGGGTCGGGAAGCGGGTCGGGTGTTGGTAAAGTCACACAGTCAGAGATTAACAGCAGTAATATAGTTAAATATGGACAAGAGAAACATGGAGGATCATTTTCACTTTTTCATTCGGAAATAAATGTAACTTTCAAATTAAATATTTAGTTGGGAAGCTCAACATTTAGTATGTAAACTAAAAATTAATCCTAATATAAATGTTTTGCTTCAATCTAAATATTTAGTTAGATAAAGCCACTAATGTAAAGATAAGATAATTTTTTTAATTTACCTGGATTCTTCAGAGAATAATCAGCTGCAGAACAGAAAAACCTAAAATACTAAAGAACAGAGCAAAACCATCAGGAAGATTAAAACTGATGAACTGAACATGAAAAGCCAGGAAGAAACCAGGAAGTGGAAAATGGCTCCGACAGATGAGGACAATGTGGTTGATCCACAGAAAAACAGGCTCAATTTCACCTCAGATTAAAATGAAAGATTTCAGATTTTATAGGAATTATTAAGGGTGCAAATAATTTCCTCACATATTAATTGACTCAAATAAAGGCTGGGTTAATGTGATATTATTATATTGTAATCAAATCTGCATTTCTTATCAAATGTTTGCCAGAAACCAGGTTTCTCAAAAAATATGTAATTTCACCCCATTTCATTAAACAGTGAAATAATTATATTGTATCATTCAGAAAGTATATTACATTATTCAGTCAGACATTTAATGATATACTTATTTATTTCATAATGTATTGTCTAATTTGTCTCTTTTGGGCCTCCATACACATCACTATGATTCATAATGAGACGGTTTATTTACGGTTTATGAGGTAAAATGAGACAAAGTGCTGCAGTAGGTCTGCCAGGCCAGTCGGTGGCGCTGTAACACAAACCAGGTTTCTAAACTGATGGTTCCTGGTCTCCCATGATGCTGAATCTGACTCAGCCTAAAATACTAAGATCATTTGTGGATCCACCTGATGGTTTCCGTGCAGAAATCATTTTGCGGCCCTCATGTTGGGAACCTCTGCTCCTGTCTGAGGTAACATCCAGAAACTCGCTTTCTCTGCAGCAGATCTCTGTCCTTCAGGCACTCCGTCCCAGAGCGTCCCCGTCCCCAGGAGCCGAGGCCCCAGCAGCAGCGACGACGACAGCGCCACGCCCGCCACGCCCACCACGCCTACAGCCTCCTTCGGTCCTGCACTTCCCTGCAGCACCACCGGGGGTCTTTCTGCACTCGACTATCACAGCTACATGGCCCGCCTCCTGGCTGCACACGAGGCCACGCCCCCATGCAGCCCCGGGGCTAGCCGCGCAGAGGCTAGCCCCAAGGCTAACACCACCGTAAGCTAGAAGAGATTTTATTTCCTGTGAATGGATCTGGAGCGACTCTTGGCTCTGCTTTCTTTCTCAGTGTACCTGCAATCAGGCCACGCCCCCCGGAGATGGTCCCACCTCCTGGGTCAATGCTCTGATTGGCCGGATCTTCTGGGACTTCCTGCGAGAGAAGCAGTGGGCCGACGCCGTCGCCTATAAGATCCAAAAGAAGCTGAGCAGAATCAGAGTGAGGCTGCCAAGCATCGATACGTCAGAAACGTATCGATACGTCAGAAACTGACGGCTTCCTCTTCCTGCAGCTGCCTTACTTCATGAACGAGCTGACGCTGACCGAGCTGGACATGGGCTGCAGCATGCCACACATCATGGCCGCCTCCAGGCCAGAGGTCAACCACAGAGGTCAGCTCAGCCTCAGAAGATGCCAACACTTCAATGTATTTGATTAGTTAAATGTTAACGCATTTTGTTCTGAAACGTCTAAATCTGTCCATCCTGTTTTCTGTCTGGTTCCTCTCCACTTCTGAGTGTTTTTTAATCCCTCTCCACCAGGAGTCAGACTGCCCCCTGCTGGCTGCTGGGTTCACAGCATTACTACAGTCATTTTGGGAAAATAAAAAGCAATAAGGCCACTGAATACATTTAACACACTGCAAGCCAATTGGATCAAATGCAATTGGTTGTTTATTCTATTTTACACATTAAGATTCTGCCTAAAACCATGAAGATGCTAAAGCTACATCGCTAACAGCAGCAATGGAAGCTGATTCTCAGTTCGTTTCTGCTTCTAAACGATCTGATTGGACGATGGAAAACACTGTTTTTGTGCTAACAGCAGTTAGCCTATCAGCAAAGCTATGCAAGCCTAAAATAGCATCTGAATGGTAACGTGTAGCAGCTAATCCTACAACAACCTGAAGATTAAAAACCAGAAATATTTTATGTTCAGATCTGATCATATTCATTCAATAATTTATCAGAAAAAAAGAGAATTGAAATTTAAAGGATCATAGATGCTTAATTACTTACAGAATCTGCAATTAACCAGATTCATATTTTAATCTAATTCCAACTCTGATAAATATAAAAGTCAGTGGCCTTATACGGAGTATCCAGAGGTCATCCTTCCACCAGATCTTCCCTTCTCCTTCAGCTTCTAAAGAAAGGGAAAGGATTGAGATGATTCTGACCCGATCTTCTCAGCCAGACCCGGGATCAGATTAAGCACCATGACCTTTGGCCTGTCTTGTCAGTTTGGTGTTGAGCTGCTTTGTGCGCCCCCTGCAGGCCTGTGGGTGCAGCTCCAGCTGGTTTACACCGGGAACCTGCAGATGACGCTGCAGACCAAGTTCAACCTGACCAAGCTGGGCAAAGAGAGCAGAGAGGAGACGGTGCAGAGCGGCCCCGAAGCTGGAGGCCCCAGGTCACACACACACACACACACACACACACACACACACACACACACACACACACACACACACACACACACAGAGACACACAGACACACACACACACACACAGAGACACACAGACACACACACACACACACACAGAGACACACAGACACACACACACACAGAGACACACACACACACACACACACCACAGAGACACACAGACACACACACACACACAGAGACACACAGACACACACACACACACACACACACACACACACACACACAGAGACACACACACACACACAGACACACACAGACACACACCCCCACACCCCACACACAGACACACACACACACAGAGACACACACACACACACACACAGAGACACACACACACAGAGACACACACACACACACACACACACCCCCACACACAGACACACACACACACAGAGACACACAGGCACACACACACAGACACACACACACAGAGACACACACACACAGAGACACACACACACACAGACACACACACACACAGACACACACAGAGAGAGACACACAGGCACACACACAGAGACACACACACACACACACAGAGACACACACACACACACACACACCCCCACACACACACACACACACCACAGAGACACACACACACACAGAGACACACACACAGACACACACACACACACACACACCCCCACACACAGACACACACACACACAGAGACACACACACACACACACACACACACACACACAGAGACACACACACACAGAGACACACACACACACACACACACAGAGACACACACACACAGAGACACACACACACACAGACACACACACACAGAGACACACAGGCACACACACAGAGACACACAGAGACACACACACACACACACACAGACACACACACACACACACACACACACACACACACACAGACACACACACACACACACACACACACACAGAGACACACAGACACAGAGACACACACACACACACACACACACACACACACACACACACACACACAGAGACACACAGACACAGAGACACACACACACACACACACACACACACACAGTCACACACACACACACACACACACACAGACACACACACACACACACACACACACACACACACAGACACACACACACACACACACACACACAGAGACACACAGACACAGAGACACACACACACACACACAGAGACACACACACACACACAGAGACACACACTCATTCCTGTATTGAGGCTGTTTTCAAGCATCTCTGGTTTTTTGTTTTATGACGATTCGGCTGCTTTTTTTTCAGAAACAGGAAGTTTTGAAACATAAATATTAATCGTTGTGTCTGACTCCTGCTGGCGTCTGATTGGCCAGTCTCCCCTGCTGCTGGCCTCTGATTGGCTGTTGCCTGTGGTCTTTAGCTGCAGGCCCGTCCTCAGCGTGTTGGCGGACAGCGATGAAGAGTCGTCCAGCGCTGCTTCTTCTGACGAAGAGGAGCTGCTGCTGTCGGAGTCTCACTGTCCATCCGGGGAGAAAGGCTCAGTGGCGCCCCCCGAAGGGTAAACACACACTGTCACGCTGCTGCTCCCGGGCTAAAGCCAGAAACCATCACACGCCGACTCACTGAAACAGAAAAACCACATTCTCTAATTTTATTACCGCAAAATCCTATTAGTGTGGAGTGCATATATATGCAGTGTTTCTGGATCACCCTGCACTTGTCATTTTTGCCAGTTTTCTTAGCAAAATAGAAGAGCAGCAGTGAGATTGGAGGGACTGGACTTTGACTAGGCCACGTTCTGCTGTAATCACGTGGCTCTTAAAACAAATAAAACAAGTTTGTGATTTATAAAAGGTGAAATGGACAGAAATAAGCTCATCTGTTTCTGCAGCTGTATGTCATATATTCATTTTGAATGAAAAAGGTTGCTGACCCCTGACCTCTGGTTTTCTACCCAGTCTCAGCTCTGATTTATTTTGGGGTAACAGAGTGAAAGGTGCTCTCCACATTTTTCAGGTTTTTATTAAGCAACAATCAATCAATACATAAACCTCAGTGTGTGAATACTTTCTGAAATCATTTTCATAAAAGGTGAAATCGGTGAAGTTTGTCCTGCTCCTCCTCTGACCCGGCTGGTGTTCCGCAGGGCTGGCGGAGGAAGAACCGGGAGGAAGATTTTAAGATTTGTGGACAAAATCACCAAATCCAAGTGTTTCCAGCGAGCGGCGGAGAGCGAGTTCATCAGGAGGAAGTTTGAGGATTTGTCCAACACGCCGCTGTTGCTGTCGGTGGAGGTCCGGGAACTGTCCGGCACGCTGGTGGTCAACATCCCAGCGCCCCCTACTGACAGGATCTGGTACGGCAGACACATGCAGACGATGGAGAGGAGGATTTAAACCTTCCTGGGTTGCTGAGAGGGCCTGCCCTGCCCTGCCCTGCCCTGGGGTTAAAGGTCACCCAGTCTCAAAGACTAGCAGCTTGTTTTGCGAATATTAAAATTTTGTTTACATTATCACCAAGTGGTGAATGTTTACACAGCGCCTCCTAGCTGTGTGTCCAGGAGGAACAGAGGAAGAGCTTCACACACAAACTCAATACTCCGGCTGCAGAATCACATTCATAAAATCTTTACTGCTTTTGGAAAGACGGAGGAGCCATTTTTAGTTTTCCTAAAAATATAGTTAAAATTGTGTCAAGAAGCTGATTCTTCATCTTTAATGTTGAGGCTCAACTTTCAACAGCCTGACGGCGCAGCAGCCGCAGCTTCATCGACTTCCTGTAAAAAACCTCCAGCTGAACATGAAGTGACCAGAGATCAATGATCTGATCACAATCTGATCACGATCTGATCATAATCTGATCACAATCTGATCACGATCTGATCATAATCTGATCACAATCTGATCATAATCTGATCACAATCCAATCATAATCTGATTACAATCTGCATCATGTGAAATCATTTTCTCCCTTTTCCTTCCATCCTGTGGTTTTTGCAGCATTCCGGTCTCAGACCCGTTTCCTCCGTCTCCTCTGCAGGTACAGCTTCTGCGCGCCGCCCAAACTGGACCTGCATGTTTGCCCCAAGCTGGGGCAGCGGGAGCTGAGCTTCTGCCCGGTGAGCGACTGGATCGAGAAGAAGCTCCAGGACGAGTTCCAGGTGAGGAAGATAAAAACCTCCTCTTGTTCTGATCCGAGTCCTCATGTTTCCTTTGCTTTGCTCTGTTTCCTGCTCAGAAAGTGTTTGTGCTGCCAAACATGGACGACATTTCCGTCCCGCTGATGCATGCTGGGATGGACGAGTTCCTCAGTCCCTGCGGGGAGGATCCGGCCGCCGCTCACCGCTAGTGCCTCGCTGCTGATGGAAACCAGGAAGAACCCAGTAAAACCAGTACACTCTTCGTCCACATGTCAATCGTCTGATTTTAGTTACTTATTCAACATAAATCAGTTTTATTCTGGAATATTAGATGTGAAACATTCAGAAATAAAAGCTTTTTAAATTAATATGTGGATATTTATTCTTCCACTTTAGAGACGAAAATCATCTCCATAGAAACACAATATAATAAACCATAAAGGCTCCAAAACGTCGTGTTGACAAGCCAATAATCAGTTGGACTATTCCCGCGTTCAGCCGCCGCGTTCAGCCGCCGCCGCGTTCAGCCGCCGCCGCGTTCAGCCGCCGCCGCGTTCAGCCGCCGCCGCGTTCAGCCGCCGCCGCGTTCAGCCGCCGCCGCGTTCAGCCGCCGCCGCGTTCAGCCGCCGCCGCGTTCAGCCGCCGCCGCGTTCAGCCGCCGCCGCGTTCAGCCGCCGCGTTCAGCCGCCTAGGTTTTGACATCAGGTGAGTCGTGGAGAAAATCTAAACTAAATAAAGCCGTTCTGAAAAATAATTGAGTTTTTTCTTTTTTCACCAAATTAGAAATGGAAGCAAATTAACGTCTTTCTGTTGTTTTATTAATTTCATTTCCATCGTTTCACACAAACAGCTGCTGCTGATTCGCTGACATGTCGTCTGATTGATTCATATCTCACTTTAACGTTTGTGTTCAGTAACAGTTTCATGAAAAATGCAGCTTTTATTTTGGTTTTGCACTTCCTCTTCTCAGAAAGAATGTGTAAACTTAAATATGTAGCTGGCTAACTAAATATTTGGTTTGAAGCTAAATAAATATTTACCTTTGAACATTTATAAATGAGTGAATAAAAACGCGGTGAAATTTGAATGAAAATGAATCTTTTATTGTCTCATTTCAGATGACGTAGATTAAATTACTGCTAGTCGTTTCTGACGACAAAAATCTGCATTTGATGCAGAACTGATTCCTTTGGAATAATGAAAATAAATAATCCTCATGTTTCATATTTTCTGCCTTCCCATCTAAGACGTGATATTAATCTAATGTCCAAAGATCCTGCGACTCTCCAATAGTCAAACATTCGTTACGACCAGCAGATGGCGCTGAAAGGCAGGAACTGCAGAGGCTGGTCTTCAGACGCAGCTTCTCAGCAGGATGTGGCCATATATGGTTAAACTGGTTAAACTGGGCGAACTGGCTTTAGATTTCCTGTTTCCCATCCGATCTGGAGATCTGCTGGATTCTCAGAGATCCAGCAGATCTCCAGCCTGGAAGCAAACAAACTGCTTGGAGGAAACAGACAGAGTGAGTGAAAGCCAAAGCAGTGATGGAGATACTTTCTGTTACCCAGAATGCATTGTGGCGCCTTGTCAGATGTGACAGGATGGTGAACTGGTCACACTGGTTTTCCTCCCAGAAGGTGACTGGTGTTCTGGTAAACCAGACTGCAGGAAACTTTTTTCACAAATCATTTCCTCGTCTTCGTGGTTCAGGAACCAGCAGATCTCTCTGGGTACTCCAGTTCTTACTGGGTCAACTGGTCTGTATGGGCCTGAACTGGATGAACCCGCCCAGAAACAGCTGGAGAGAGACTGTGACCCTGTGACCCCGTGACCCTGCAAGGATCAGCCGGCACAGACGATGCCTGGGTGATTTAAGTGAGCTTCTAATTTCCCTTTTGGATCCATAAAGTCTTTTTATTATTTTATTTCTTGACCTTTGACCCGGTTCCGGTCAGAAGCTGAGAACAGGATGAAGCTCTGACTTCGTTGCGTTTGTGAACGCAGCACGAAAAGCTCTGCAGCCTTTCAGCGAACATCAGCTCCACGTTTAATATTTCATAGCTCTGCATTCAGATTTCAAAGCAGCCGGTTTTATTCTGACTGCGTGGAAAAGGTGCAGCAGCCATTATGTCCTGTAACACTTTAAAAATCTTCTTCCTGAAACAAAACAATAGTGATTCATTTCAAAACAATAATTGCATTTATGTGATTCTGGGATTAAACTGAAAGCAAAGTTTCTGAAGCTCAGCAGTAAAGATTAGCAAACAATCTTTTCCTTTGGTCTGAAATGCTGTTTCTCTGAAGGAAGTGATTCTGCGGCTCAGTGAATCCTGGACGTCTGCCAGACAAACCGCTGCTTCCTGCAAACGCTCCGCCGGTTCGCAAACCAAACATCGTACCGAGTTAATTATGGAGGGAAGAAGCTCAATTATTATGTGAACGGAGTTTTTCCAGGAATCCAAAACATCCATCGCTGATTCCCATCATAACTCACCTCAGGCTTCCTCATATTTCTCCATTAATGAGAGACCTAAAGGAAACAAAGCCGTTTTGTGATTAATGGTAAACTCGCTAACCTTTGACCTCTCTCCTCCAGTGCAGTCCAGGAAAATAAAATATGTTCCAAGTGGTTTATTAGAGGAAGTTAAATATAGTTCACAGCTGCTTTGTTATGAGGAATGATTTATTAATTTACTGAGGATCGATGAGCTCAGCAGCTGGAACAACGTCTTCAGTCAGAGGCTTCTTCAGATTCGCTGTGATACAGACTGCTGCAGGAGATCCTTCCTGCCAGCAGCCGTCACTGTCCGACCTGACCCGGTCCGACCCGACCTGACCTGACCAGGTCCGACCCGACCCAGTCCGACCTGACCCGGTCTGCTGCAGCAGCAGCTCTGAGGGCCGACCGGTTTCCTGCGTCCAGGATCCCAACTGTGATGACTGAAGTCTGTTTTTCAAAGTCTACAGAAAGCTTCAGTAAAAATGTGTTTCTGATGCGTTGCCAGGTTGGACACAGAGCCACGTTGTTCCCACATCTGGGGAGTTTTACTCATCTTCAGGAGAAACCAGGCGGATGCCCAGAAACATACCATACCAACTTTATTTATAAAGCACTTTAAAACAACCACAGCTGATACAAAGTGCTGCACATAAAATAGATAAAAATAAATAAAAAGCCAAGTAAAATAGATGAGTTTTAAGACGAGCTTTAAAACACTGGGAACGTCCAGAAGCAGAGGTATGAATCAGGTTCCTGTTCCCTCGTCTTACTGTAACAGGTGTGAAGCAAGAAGCTGCTGCTAAGCTAACAATGACTGAACTGGTTTACAGCAACACTGATCTCACTTTGTGCCTCCCGGCGACAAACCAGGGAGCTTCTGATTTCCATCAACCTGCAGCTCACTGAACCGAACACTGAACCGAACACTGAACCGAACACTGAACTGAACACTGAACTGAACACTGAACTGAACTGAACTCTGAACTGAACACTGAACTGAACACTGAACTGAACACTGAACACTGAACTGAACACTGAACTGAACACTGAACTGAACTGAACTCTGAACTGAACTGAACACTGAACTGAACTGAACTCTGAACTGAACTGAACACTGAACTGAACTGAACTCTGAACTGAACACTGAACTGAACACTGAACTGAACTGAACTCTGAACTGAACTGAACACTGAACTGAACTCTGAACTGAACTGAACTCTGAACTGAACACTGAACTGAACTCTGAACTGAACTGAACTCTGAACTGAACTCTGAACTGAACTGAACACTGAACTGAACACTGAACACTGAACTGAACACTGAACTGAACACTGAACTGAACTGAACTCTGAACTGAACTGAACACTGAACTGAACTGAACTCTGAACTGAACTGAACACTGAACTGAACTGAACTCTGAACTGAACACTGAACTGAACACTGAACTGAACTGAACTCTGAACTGAACTGAACACTGAACTGAACTCTGAACTGAACTGAACTCTGAACTGAACTCTGAACTGAACTGAACACTGAACTGAACACTGAACACTGAACTGAACACTGAACTGAACACTGAACTGAACACTGAACTGAACACTGAACTGAACTGAACTCTGAACTGAACACTGAACTGAACACTGAACTGAACTGAACTCTGAACTGAACTGAACACTGAACTGAACTGAACTCTGAACTGAACTGAACACTGAACTGAACTGAACTCTGAACTGAACACTGAACTGAACTGAACTCTGAACTGAACTGAACACTGAACTGAACTGAACTCTGAACTGAACTGAACTCTGAACTGAACTGAACACTGAACTGAACTGAACACTGAACTGAACTGAACCGAACACTGAACTGAACACTGAACTGAACTGAACACTGAACTGAACTGAACACTGAACTGAACTGAACCGAACACTGAACTGAACACTGAACTGAACTGAACTCTGAACTGAACTGAACACTGAACTGAACTCTGAACTGAACTGAACTCTGAACTGAACTCTGAACTGAACTGAACACTGAACTGAACACTGAACTGAACACTGAACTGAACTGAACTCTGAACTGAACACTGAACTGAACACTGAACTGAACTGAACTCTGAACTGAACTGAACACTGAACTGAACTGAACTCTGAACTGAACTGAACACTGAACTGAACTCTGAACTGAACACTGAACTGAACACTGAACTGAACTGAACTCTGAACTGAACTGAACACTGAACTGAACTGAACTCTGAACTACTCTGAACTGAACTGAACTGAACACTGAACTGAACTCTGAACTGAACTGAACTCTGAACTGAACTCTGAACTGAACTCTGAACTGAACTGAACTCTGAACTACTCTGAACTGAACTGAACTGAACTGAACACTGAACTGAACTTTGAACTGAACTGAACTCTGAACTGAACACTGAACTGAACACTGAACTGAACTCTGAACTGAACTGAACTCTGAACTGAACTGAACACTGAACTGAACTCTGAACTGAACTGAACTCTGAACTGAACTGAACTCTGAACTGAACTCTGAACTGAACTGAACTGAACACTGAACTGAACTGAACTCTGAACTGAACTCTGAACTGAACTGAACACTGAACTGAACTGAACTCTAAACTGAACTCTGAACTGAACTGAACCGAACACTGAACTGAACACTGAACTGAACACTGAACTGAACACTGAACTGAACTGAACTGAACACTGAACTGAACTGAACTGAACTCTGAACTGAACTCTGAACTGAACTGAACTGAACACTGAACTGAACTCTGAACTGAACTGAACTCTGAACTGAACTCTGAACTGAACTGAACTCTGAACTGAACTCTGAACTGAACTGAACACTGAACTGAACTCTGAACTGAACTGAACACTGAACTGAACTGAACTCTGAACTGAACACTGAACTGAACTTTGAACTGAACTCTGAACAGAACTGAACTCTTAACTGAACACTGAACTGAACTGAACTCTAAACTGAACTGAACACTGAACTCTGAACTGAACTGAACTCTGAACTGAACACTGAACTGAACTCTGAACTGAACACTGAACTCTGAACTGAACTGAACTGAACTGAACTCTGAACTGAACTGAACACTGAACTCTGAACTGAACTCTGAACTGAACTCTGAACTGAACACTGAACTGAACACTGAACTGAACTGAACACTGAACTGAACTGAACTGAACTATGAACTGAACACTGAACTGAACACTGAACTGAACTGAACTCTGAACTGAACACTGAACTGAAGTGAACACTGAACTGAACTGAACTGAACTCTGAACTGAACTGAACTCTGAACTGAACACTGAACCGAACTCTGAACTGAACTGAACTGAACATTGAACTGAACTGAACTGAACTCTGAACTTAACTCTGAACTGAACTGAACTCTGAACTGAACTGAACACTGAACTGAACTGAACTGAACTCTGAACTGAACTGAACTGAACTGAACTCTGAACTGAACACTGAACCGAACTCTGAACTGAACTGAACATTGAACTGAACTGAACTGAACTCTGAACTGAACTGAACTGAACTGAACTCTGAACTGAACACTGAACTGAACTCTGAACTGAACTCTGAACTGAACACTGAACTGAACTTTGAACTGAACTGAACTTTGAACTGCACTGAACTGAACACTGAACCGAACACTGAACTGAACTGAACACTGAATTGAACTCTGGACTGAACACTGAACTGAACGCTGAACTGAACTCTGAACTGAACTGAACACTGAACTGAACTCTGAACTGAACTGAATTCTGAACTGAACTGTGAACTGAACTCTGAACTGAACTGAACTGAACTCTGAACTGAACTGAACTCTGAACTGAACTCTGAACTGAACACTGAACTGAACTCTGAACTGAACACTGAACTGAACTGAACACTGAACTGAACTGAACTGAACTCTGAACTGCACTGAACTGAACTGAACACTGAACCGAACACTGAACTGAACTGAACACTGAACTGAACTCTGAACTGAACACTGAACTGAACTCTGAACTGAACTCTGAACTGAACACTGAACTGAACTCTGAGCTGAACTATGAACTGAACTGAACTGAACACTGAACTGAACACTGAACTGAACTCTGAAATGAACTGAACCATGAACTGAACTGAACTCTGAACTGAACACTGAACTGAACTGAACACTGAACTGAACTGAACTCTGAACTGAACTGAACTCTGAACTGAACTGAACCGAACACTGAACTGAACACTGAACTGAACACTGAACTGAACACTGAACTGAACTGAACTCTGAACTGAACTGAGCACTGAACTCTGAACTGAACTGAACTCTGAACTGAAAACTGAACTGAACTTTGAACTGAACTCTGAACTGAACTGAACACTGAACTGAACTTTGAACTGAACTCTGAACAGAACTGAACTCTTAACTGAACACTGAACTGAACTGAACTCTAAACTGAACTCTGAACTGAACTCTGAACTGAACACTGAACTGAACTCAGAACTGAACACTGAACTTAACATTGAACTGAACTGAACTTTGAACTGAACTCTGAACTGAACTGAACACTGAACTCTGAACTGAACTGAACTGAACTCTGAACTGAACTCTGAACTGAACTCTGAACTGAACTCAGAACTGAACACTGAACTGAACTGAACTCTGAACTGAACTCTGAACTGAACACTGAACTGAACTCTGAACTGAACTCTGAACTGAACTGAACACTGAACTGAACTGAACTGAACTCTGAACTGCACTGAACTGAACTGAACACTGAACCGAACACTGAACTGAACTGAACACTGAACTGAACACTGAACCGAACACTGAACTGAACTGAACACTGAACTGAACTCTGAACTGAACACTGAACTGAACTCTGAACTGAACTCTGAACTGAACTCTGAACTGAACACTGAACTGAACTCTGAGCTGAACTATGAACTGAACTGAACTGAACACTGAACTGAACACTGAACTGAACTCTGAAATGAACTGAACCATGAACTGAACTGAACTCTGAACTGAACACTGAACTGAACTGAACACTGAACTGAACTGAACTCTGAACTGAACTGAACTCTGAACTGAACTGAACTCTAAACTGAACTCTGAACTGAACTGAACCGAACACTGAACTGAACACTGAACTGAACACTGAACTGAACTGAACTGAACTGAACTCTGAACTGAACTGAGCACTGAACTCTGAACTGAACTGAACTCTGAACTGAAAACTGAAACTGAACTTTGAACTGAACTCTGAACTGAACTGAACACTGAACTGAACTTTGAACTGAACTCTGAACCAGAACTGAACTCTTAACTGAACACTGAACTGAACTGAACTCTAAACTGAACTGAACTCTGAAACTGAACACTGAACTGAACTCAGAACTGAACACTGAACTTAACACTGACTGAACTGAACTTTGAACTGAACTCTGAACTGAACTGAACTGAACACTGAACTCTGAACTGAACTGAACTGAACTCTGAACTGAACTCTGAACTGAACTCAGAACTGAACACTGAACTGAACACTGAACTGAACTGAACTTTGAACTGAACTCTGAACTGAACTGAACACTGAACTCTGAACTGAACTGAACTGAACTCTGAACTGAACACTGAACTGAACTGAACACTTAACTGAACTCTGAACTAAACACTGAACTGAACTCTGAACTGAACTATGAACTGAACTGAACTGAACTGAACACTGAACTGAACTTTGAACTGAACTCTGAGCTGAACTGAACTGAACTCTGAACTGAACACTGAACTGAACACTGAACTGAACTTTGAACTGAACTCTGAACTGAACTGAACTGAACACTGAACTCTGAACTGAACTGAACTCTGAACTGAACACTGAACTGAACTGAACTGATCTCTGAACTGAACTGAACACTGAACTCTGAACTGAACTGAACTCTGAACTGAACACTGAACTGAACACTGAACTGAACTGAACTCTGAACTGAACTCTGAACTGAACTCTGAACTGAACTCTGAACTGAACTATGAACTGAACTGATCACTGAACTGAACACTGAACTGAACTTTGAACTGAACTCTGAACAGAACTGAACTGAACTCTTAACTGAACACTGAACTGAACTGAACTCTAAACTGAACTGAACACTGAACTCTGAACTGAACTGAACTGAACTCTGAACTGAACTCTGAACTGAACTCTGAACTGAACACTGAACTGAACTCTGAACTGAACTGAACACTGAACTCTGAACTGAACTGAACTCTGAACTGAACTGAACACTGAACTCTGAACTGAACTGAACTCTGAACTGAACTCTGAACTGAACTAAACACTGAACTCTGAACTGAACTGAACTCTGAACTGAACACTGAACTGAACACTGAACTGAACTGAACTGAACTGAACTATGAACTGAACACTGAACTGAACACTGAACTGAACTGAACACTGAACTGAACTGAACTGAACTGAACTCTGAACTGAACTCTGAACTGAACACTGAACCGAACTCTGAACTGAACTGAACATTGAACTGAAATGAACTGAACTCTGAACTGAACACTGAACTGAACTGAACTGAACACTGAACCGAACTCTGAACTGAACTGATGTTGGGGGTATGTATAATTGTGACCTGATGATTTCCATCATCAAATGAATCCAGTTGAATTATTACTGAGTTTCTGTAAACTTGTGTTTGGATATTAAACCTTTATTGTTTCACTGAAGCAAACAAAACGATGATGATCTGATTCCATTAGCAGGTTACAGAGGAAGAGGAAGAGGAAGAGGAAGTGAGTCGCAGGTTTCATCGGGTTTTCTGCTTCACTGAAGCTACAAACTGAGCAGCTGTGCTGCTGTGATACTAGAGCCGTTTCTATGGTTACACAGGAAAAATGATCCGAAAACACAGCCGGTCAATTCAATATTTAGTTTGGAAACGCTAGTAAAAAAATAACTAAATGTTTATTTGTGACGTCACTGCTGGAGCAACATGCAGGAAATATGACGGTAGCCGATTATTCCTGTAGATTTTTTACAGTGTAACTGGACAAACAGCGCCCCCTAGAGTCCGTATTTACTTCTTAACACGATAACAAAGACTGGCGCTTCAGTCCCATGCAGCGGTTCTACAGCCGGCTGTGGACCGGGTCGGCCTGCGCCTGCAGCCGGGTTCTGGAGGCCAGCGCCGCCTTGCGGGTCATGGTGCTGCAGCGCAGCAGGATCTCCTGGGGGTCGGGTCTGCGGGGCACGCCGGGGGCCGGGCCCGACTCGCTGCCTTTGGACCCGGCCGACCCGGAGCTCCCGGTGCTGGACCTGGAGGAGCGGCTCGGGTCGGGGTGGCGCGGCTCGTCCCTCAGGCTGGAGGAGGACGAGGCGCTGCTGGAGGAGAAGCTGGAGAAGATGGAGTTGTTGCTGTGGGACGCGGCTGATGAAGACGATGATGACGCCGCCGCGGCGGCATCCTGCAGACGGCTCTCTGACAGCACGTCCAGGGACTGAGCTCTGGGGAGCCGCTCCGGGACCGCGGACCCCCGCCTGGAGCCCGGCTCCTGGTTCTGGACCGGTTGGGAGGAGCGCGAGCCCCGGGAGCCGCTGGAGGTCAGGTAGAGGGAGGAGCTGTGCAGGTGGCGGCCGGGCAGGTGGCGCCGCGGGTTAATGTAGGGCTGCAGGTACATGGAGGGCAGGTAGCCCACCTTGCTGCCGCACCTGGAGGGGGCGGAGCCAGAGTTAGGTTTGACAAACAGAGCAGCTGGACTGATCGATCAATCAGGACGATCGATCATCAAACAGTCCTCTAATTCAATAATTAATCATTTAAATGCACTAAACTGTAAAATCAGAAACATTTCAATGAAAAGCTCCAGTTTGTTCATCTGTGGACATGGAGCATGTTCTGTTCATGTTCTGTTCATGTTCTGTTCATGTTCTGTTCATGTTCTGTTCATGTTCTGGTTCGTACCTGACCAGCCACCAGCCGTCGTCAGACTTGCGCAGCACCTCGACCACGCAGCCGATGGCCACGCCCACCTCGTCGCTCTTGGAGGTGGAGTAGTTCCTCACGGCGCAGTACAGGGACCCTGAAGGCAACACGCAGACCACCCGTCAACATCTGCAGGAGGTTGTGGACAGAGTCCGGTCCGGGTGATCCGGTCCGGGTGATGAATTGTGACTCACCTCCCAGGAACCTTCCCTCCTCTTCCTCCTCTTCCTCGTCTTCCTCCTCACAGAGCTCCAGGTAAGGCGCCGGAAACCAGGCTAACCGCTTGTCCTCGCTCTCCACCAGCCACCATCCTGCAGCCAACAGACAGTTAGCAGTCAGCCGTTAGCGGTTAGCCGTTAGCATGCTGCTGCCATGGCCTGAACTCAGCCTTTGTACACAGTAAAATATTAACAGCAATAATTTGGTTTAGGTTTATTTTCCAAACTAAATATTTTATTTGAAAATCAGACATTTAGTTTGGAACTGTTCATGTTTTACAGTGTAACTTTAATCTTCATGAGTGGAGCGTTGCAGCTGCAGCCTGACCTGCCGGGTCTTTGATTAGGACGTCCAGCTGGTCGCCGGCAGCCGCCTTAAAGGTCCGGTTCTTGGTGTCTGTGGTCTCGTACGGCGCCACGCAGCGGTACGTCTGCGTGACGAAGGGGTGCGTGACGCCGCCCACCTGCTGGGGCCGCGCGCCGCCCGCCGCGTCCTGCGCCTCGTCAGACATCAGGATCATGACGCTGCAGCAGACCACGAGTTAGACACGGATCAGAGCGGCCCGCCCGAACCCGACCGGAACCAGAACTCACGTGTTCTTGGTGAAGTCCGTCTGCAGGTCGTGATCTCTGGGCGTGAAGAACCGGGTGACCTCTGAACTCAAGGTCACGGTCTGGTCGCAGCACAGCAGCTCCTCGCAGTAACTCTGCAGGAAGCTCATCTGCCTCACTGACTTCCTGGATCCGGTCTGCTGCAGGCTGCGCCGGGCCTTCCCTGGACCCGAACCAGAACCAAACCAGAACCAGTTAACAACCCGAAAACATCCAATTAAATCAACTAAAGTTTCTCTAAACATAAAACATTTCAATCAGCTGAGGCTCATTATGTCACAAACATCACAGCAAATATGAAAGATTTTTTCCTGCATCAAGAATCTTTTCATTATAAATAATAAATCATCAGAAATAAAAAGTTTAAAGCTTCCTGCTGTGGAATGAATGAGTTACTGAAATAAACAAACTTCATTAATGTTTGAATTTATCCTTCAGATTTTTATTTGTTTTGATTAAAAACCAGATTTAAACCAGATCCAGGTTCTAATCTGTAAAAACGGTGAACTGCTCCTTTTCCAATCTGAACGTCATCAATCAGATTTTCTCACCGGAGAACTTTGGGATTTTCCTCTGGTTCTTCCTGAAGGGATTAAAGTTTGGAAATCTTCTCTTCAGCTGCTTCTGTTGGAGACATTCAGTTTTTCAATGATTTTTAATCATTTAATTGCAGTGCTGATTGACTTGTTATTACAAACTAAATAAAACTCAAATGATTTCAGATTCTTCCTGACTCACATGAAATGACCGGAAGTCCTGGAAGGACCTGTAGACGATCACTTCCGACTCATCGGACCAGAGAACGGACAGCATGAAGGTCTGAGGAGGAAACATGATGATTTTTCTGACATGAAATTAATGAAGAAAATCTTGGTGAAGTTTTACCTTCAGTCTCGGTTTCTCTCTGCGGACGCCTGCCACCGCCCGGACGCTGATGACGTAGCGCTGGTCTCCAGTCATTCTGTTCTGGTTCTGGTTCTGGTTCTGGATCTGGTTCTGGTTCTGGATCTGGTTCTGGTTCTGGTTCTGGATCTGGTTCTGGTTCTGTATCTGGTTCTGGTTCTGGATCTGGTTCTGGTTCTGGATCTGGTTCTGGTTCTGGTTCTGGATCTGGATCTGGTTCTGGATCTGGTTCTGGTTCTGGTTCTGGATCTGGTTCTGGATCTGGTTCTGGTTCTGGTTCTGGATCTGGTTCTGGTTCTGGTTCTGGATCTGGTTCTGGTTCTGGTTCTGGATCTGGTTCTGGTCCTGGTTCTGGTTCTGGTTCTGGTTCTGGATCTGGTTCTGGTTCTGAGGTCAGTGGCTGCCGCTGAGGATGAGGAGGATGAAGGTGAGGATGTGAAGCTCCAGCAGCTGCTGCATCTCTACTTATGTAGAGATAAAGGGGCGGAGCCAGGATGGGGGGGCGGGGGCGGGGCGTCAGCAGCACCGCGGGATGACGTCACACACGTGAGGCACCGACCTGCAGCAGAGACAATAAAGCATCTTGGACCGGGAAACATCGTTCAATGAAAACCAACATGGTGAAAATGTGAAACATGAAATATGTCATACAAAAGAAAACATGTTTAAAATGAGGTCAAAGTAAAATCTGACAAAGATTTTCAAAATAAAATGATATTTTAAAAATGACATCAAACAAAAATAAACCTGTTTAGTTTTTCAATATATGATGAAAACAAAAATTAATCACATTCATCACTGCTGTCGCCAAGCGCCAATAAAACCTCTCACCTGTGTGTGTGTGTGTGTGTGTGTGTGTGTGTGTGTGTGTGTGTGTGTGTGTGTGTGTGTGTGTGTGTGTGTGTGTGTTAGCAGGTGTTTCTTCAAAGGCTGTTATCGCTGCTCTCATGTGAAGCCTCTGCTGTGAAGGAATGCCAGCATTTATCACACACACACACACACACACAGGCAGCACGTGCTGCGGCGCTGAATGTCGGGTTTGTGCAGCTTTGAACCTGAAATACGTGAGGTTTGGACGTCATGGATTATCTTTCACCTGGATTTTATTTCATGAATTAATCAAATAAATTGAGTTTTGGGGGTAAATTGGGTAAAACTTTCTACTGATTATTTTATTGATCACAGCCGGGTCTGTAATAAATAACCGGCTGTTTTAAGTATAAATATAATAAGATTGGGTTTTTCTTCTCATAGTTGAAACTATTTTCCTTCTGAATTGTTGTGGACTGAAGAAGCTCTGAGCTCAGATTATCTGATGGATTATTAACCCATCGCTGTCTGCTGAAGCAGTTTTCACTGTTAATCTGATCTGTAATCTGTTCTCTCTGCAGCCTCCAGACTTCATCATCTTCATCATCTTCATCATCTTCATCATCTTCATCATCTTCATCAGAAAACTTTCACTTTGTCTTGAAAAACAGATTTTTGATCTGAAACCTGGTTCAATAAAGTTATTATCATAATTATTAGGGAGAATAGAAGGACAAACTCAAACTCTGGATGTGTGCAGGATGAACCCCTGGAGAAATGAGAGTTCGGACCCGACCCACAGGGAGCCAGCAGAACCAGTTTGGCTCCTGGTTCCCCTCCCACTGCAGAACAAGCAGATTCAGCATTCAGCAATGCGAGGCGTTCTATTGTTCTGCTTGTCAAACAGGATCTGACTTTCTGGAAGCATAAAATACCTGAAGGTCGTCAGACTGGATCAGATCAGAACCAGAAACACAAACATCCGTCAGTATTTCTCATGTTGGGTCTGTAATAAACACATTTAAATATTTATCTTTGTTGTTGATTTTTCTGTAACTTCATGTTGAGAGATAAAAGTTTGGACTGGATGATAAAATCAAACTTCAGAAGGAAGTTTTCACATTTTATTGCCTGCTTATTGGCACAGAAGTTCAATAAAAGCTGATTCTCAGGAAAGCATGGCCTAGTCAAAGTCCAGTTGATGGGGAGGATACTGATTCCTGCTAAATCTGTCAGGCTGGGAAACTGCAGATCAAACTTCCTCCTAGTCAGAGGGTCAAAGGTCATCCATGCTAGGTCTTTCCAGGCAGCCTCTTTCAGCACAACGACTGACGGAGCAGGAAGTGATGTCACTGTCAGAAACTCCAGGAGAAGAAACTGAGAAACATCTTTAAGTTCAGTTTCAATCAATCAATCAATCAATCAATCAATCAATCACATTTTATCTGTGTAGTGCCTTTCACTTCAAAGAGCTTCACATCATAAAAACACAAAATACAATTGATAGAAGCAGAGATCATCACAGATTATTGATCAGTGATTGATGATTAGGTTTCAAAATGGATCTCAGGGTTTCGGCTGTTTTGCAGTTTTCTGTAAGTTTGTTCCAGATTTGTGGTGCATAGAAGCTGAATGTTGCTTCCCTGTTTGGTTCTGGTTCTGATGCAGAGCAGAACCAGAACCAGAACCTGGGAGGTCTGGAAGGTTGACACAACAACAGCAGATCTTTTTGTTTTAGTTTTAGTCATAAACTTTTGATCTCCATGAACGACTCTAACTTTCCATAATCTGAGAATTTTGGAATAAATTTGACCTAAAAAACTGAAACATGTTGAAATAAAAGACATTTTTGCTGTAATAATTTAATCTGGGTCTGTTCTGAGATTATTGGCAGCTGATACCTGGCACTCAGGATGACCTTTGACCTGCTCTGGTTCTGGACTGAGTTGTTCAGAAAGTGTTGATAATGACAGTAAATTTATGCTGTATTAAAACAGGCTGCTTTGGATAACTGATTTAATCTTTCATCAGCTTTTATCATAAATCTAAAATGTTCTGGAACATTTTTGATCTAATCTTTGTTTATTTTCTTCAGCTGATTAAAGGGAATCAGTTAAAAAGTCGCAGCAGATGTTTCCATTCTTGAGAAAGAGAGTAAGCACAGCCAAGATGGCCGCCTGCTGCTGCAGCAGAAAATCAAAGTGTTTGAACCCAGGAAGGTCTCAGCGCTTCGCTCCTTCCATCTTCCCACTGCATGAGCTGCGCTGAGGTGAATAGAAGAGACTAATTCACAGGCTGAGTGAAAATCCTTCCTAAAGGTGAAAACTTATCACAGATTTCAAAAGAAAATAAAAATGGGAGGCTGCGGATAACACAGGAAATAGCGCCCCCTTCACTTCCGGAGGGCAATGGTCCCGTTTCCATATAAGGTCATAGACTGACGGTGGTCCGTCCCCCTTCCTGTTAGCTGCAGCTTGGACTTGTTCCAATGTTCTCCCATACAGAAGCAGAGAGCGGACAAACTTAAACAAAGCTTGAAAAACAGAAAACTCAAAGACAGCAGGAAGAAGGCAGCGTCGGTTTAAAGCTTGGCTATTTCCTGGATATGAACAGCGTGAAGGCTAATAACTTATCTGGGCCTTCTCTCAGTAATCAGTTTGGTAAAAACGTTGACTCATCATCAATGCTTTTCCATTAAATATTCCTTCAGAAAACGTGTGAATCGATTCGATTTCCTTTCACAGAATGGTGAGGATCGCTGCCTTATCAAACACTTCTTCTTCTTGAGTTTATTTGCAGTTTGCAAACAACTAATGGTGTGCAATAAATTGCACATATTAATAACTAAATCAAACTAAATCAGCTGTTCAGACGTTTCCCCAACACTTCGTTGTTCTAAATGTAATATTTTGACGTTGTTTGCGATCAGTGCCATTAGCTGGATGGTTACTCATGCTCTTATTTTGAAGTTTGTTTAAACAGAGCTTCCGTTTCCTCTCCTGGTTTTTTCTCCTTTTCAATGAACCTTATTGAGCAAATCTCCAGTAAACATCAAAGGAAGATGAAAGGAGTTACATGAACAAACAACCAGGAGTTAATTAAAGAAATAAATGCAAATATTGACATTTCTGAATCCTTCTGAGCCTTTGTTGGGAATCAACATGGTGGTAGTTAGCGCTTTAGCATTAGCTTCTGATAAAACACCATGTTCATAGAGTGCTTTAGAATTAGCAGAGCTAATTTTTAAGATTAGGGCTTTATTTGACATTTTCTGTACGGGAAGTTTATTTAAAACCATAACTGATAAAAGATGGAAGTGAAATAGTTGCTAGTGCTGTTTTCTGATTGTTTGCTACACACAGAGGTGTTTTGGTGTCGCTGTAATCTGCAGGAGAGATAACGTCTGGCTGCCCAGGAAACAAACGACGTGAAGCTCGTTATTCCTCGTCTGAAGTGCAATAAAAGGGTTTTGTGTCCAGGTACAGGCGCGGCTCTGACT